CAGTGCCACTCTTCACAAATCCGGACTGCATGGGAGCGCAGCCAGATGGCATATGACAGCAGCCGGGAGTTTTCACTGAAGGATTTGAACACCATAATGTAAAAGGCCAGGATCTGATTAATTGTGTTAAATATTATCCACAATTTACGATGTAGAATTTCTGTTAAAACCAGCTGTGTTTTCTTCAGAGAACAAATTTGATAAAACATATTTTTCTATAACGCCTGGCATAGGTTTACATTAGGTTTACATTAGGTTCCATAGCATAAAGTGGAAGAGATCGGTAGACAGTTTAAGTCATAGGTTAATAATTGCTGAAAAATGCAACTTTTTCTAGGCATAAGTTGATCAAATAAATAGGTTATGGAGTACTAGAGTAGGGTGACCAGATTTTCAAAATCAAAAACTGGGACACCCCCAGTTTGGGGTGGGTGGTAATAATAAACAAGTGCATAATTAAGAAAAAAAATGTATGTGCCGGCCCATTCATGACTAATATGTGAGTCAGTAGTATAGTCACATTTTTGTGTTTTGGTCATTTTTAAGCAGCTTCTCTGTATTTTACCTAAACAAGTGACAATGTATGCCTTTTTACTGTTGTCAGATATTAAATTGGTCAAAAATAGGAACACCTGGGACATCTCTTGTATAAAAGTGGGACAAATCGGTGGTTTTGGATAAATCTTATGGGACAGGGGACACGGGGCTCAAAACTGGGACTGTCCCTGTTAAATGGGATGAGCTTGGGGCAGTAACATTTTATTTACCAGTTTTGAGCCCTATGTTTCCTGTCCCAGTAGATTTATTCAAAAACATTATTTTTGCTCCAATAAATGTTCCATGTGTCCCTACTTTTGACAAATTTTATACCCGGCAACAGTAAAATCTGGTCACCCTAATTTAAGTGCGAGTAGCTCGAAGCAGTACTCGCCAGGCTCACTCTCTCCGCTTCAAGAGAATTTGACGCACAATGCAAATCTATTGTGTAAATCCACTTCAGACTTGATAAAAGAATTGTCCCAAGTAGAGTAGACCTACATGATTTTAGCTAGCTTCTTTGAATGTTAACAAGTTTGTGTCGAAATTTTTGATTGACATCTCGTTTATCCAATGGAGGAACAGGGAAAAGACAGTGTGGACCTCCATGGATAAGGTGAGGGAAATGGAAATATGCACTGCAAAATAAATGAACATGCGCAGAGGACAGCTAAAAGACAAATACATACATACATATAACCTCTTAACCTAGTCTAAACTTAGCTTATTGAAAAGCAAGGAAAGAAAGTTGAGACCTAAGCAAATTGCGTTGTAGCTTGTAGCATTGCCTATGCTTGTGGTTGATAAATCTGTGCAGGTGATGGTCCAAGTTCAGTGCTGGGTTATAAAAGATTATTCAAACTTTGCTTGATCCAAATAAATATTATGCTACATCACACAAATAACTGTTGATCATCAACAAAGTCTGGCATTAAAGATAATACTGCCAGAGTAATTTAGGGCAAGACACCGCAGGTAAGGAAAATGTAATTTCACCAAACCTATGTCAACTTGAAACGTTTTCTGTAGCTTACTAACGTAAAATTTTTCATCATGTAAAGTTTTCATATAAACAAGGCATTTCATGGCAAATATTCCATATATTTGTGACTGGAAACTTGAAAGAAAACAAAATGTTATTTACGTGATATAAATCAGGCTTAGAGTTATATATCAACAAGTCCTTCTGTACCAAATCTTGTTTAGTACATACAACACTGGAAAGCTACTTTAAGGAGATATTTAAATATCCCATGTGAGAAAAATGCATTTTGAGAAAACCATCTTCAAAGTCAATGCTTTATAAATCTATGAATGCAAATTGATTAAATAATTAAATATTTTTCAACCCAGACTGGACAATGGTACTGTTTACACATAAAAGCTTATGTGTTGAAATTTCAAACCATAAAACTGAAAAGAATTTTGCCATAAAACAAATGGAGCAGTCACTCAAGCTTCTCTAGTCCAGTCTCATTAAGTCCCTTATTAAAATCACCACAGCAGTAAAGTTAGTGAGAGAAGTTTTTATTTATTTATTTTTCTCAGTGCAATAATAAATGGGCCCACCAGCATTAAGTAATTAAGTGGAATCAGAAATAATCCATCCAGACTGTCATGCAGTGTGAAAATAAGGGTTCAAACATACCGTCAGATCATAACAAAGGCTTCTGTGTAAAATTATTACTTTTATGTAACAGTTGCGAAGATGTAAAATGTGCGAGTAAGAACAAACAAGATAAACAGCATGTGCTATGTGTGTGTACAGCCATCATTATTCCCTGGAAGCTCCTAAATCTCTATTTATATTTATTGAGGGATTTGGATTCTTTTGCATGGGCAATGTAATAAGACCACAAATATCCACTGCGCAATACAAAATTCATGAGGGACAGTTGCTGCAGAAAAAAAAAAAAACATTAAGGTGAGTGATGTTATATAAATGTGAAGAAAGAACACATGAGAAAATACAAGCAGTGTGGTCACTACTGACACAGTTTTGGGAAATGGGTCAGTTTTGATGCCCATTGAGCTTTGTAATTGTAATTGTTATTGACCACAAACCCAATGAACCTAGCATAGAAATTACATTACACTACAACACTCTATTGTTGGCTCTGGCAGTGGTGGTAAACATAAGTATGTGGTCACTGGTCTTCATCTGAATTAGTGTGCTCTGAAATACAATCAAAATGAGGAAGCCATTATCAAACACAGGATCCACTGGAAGACAGAGAATCCTAGTACTTTATTTTTATTTTTTTAATAAACAAACAAACAAACAAAAACATTATTTATTAATTTAGATAATTATGGCTGGGCAACTATTAAAATAACTGATCATTTTAATAATTGCTGGTCATTATGTATGAGTATGCAGACTGAAAATCAAATGCAAATGTTTTATAAAATGTCAAAAAAAAAAAAAAAAAAAAAAAAATATATATATATATATATATATATATATATATATATATATATAGGGGTATATATATATAATAGGGGTATGGTGAGACAGTTTCCCTAAGACATGAGATTGGGTCCATGAGATCGAGACAAGACGAGATTTTGATTTATAAAAAAATTATTGTGCATTAATTTTGGCCTCATCATATAAAATTTTTGTTGTTGATGTTCCACTCCTCACAAATGAACCTTTCTTTTGTTCATCTTTTTGTTCATCCAAATGTAAAAACCTCCAGATAACTTTCCTTATATGTGCTGAATCTTACAGCAATTTTGTTTTGTGGCACAAGATCTTGTCCCTTCACTATCAATGATACATTCTATTTGTAAATGTTCTCTATATAGAGTATCTTGTTGTCTGTCTTTCTAAAACATAAATAATTGTTTGACTAGTCAATTTATCAAAGAATTACTCACTAGTCGACTACTAAAATTGGTATTTGCAGTCCTAATAATTTTAAAGTTTGTATTTTACTCCTGGTTTTGAAGTGTGACAGCAGCATGTTGAAGATAATGGACATCATGATTTGGGGAAATGTTTTTAACTACAGTCTAAAATCTACCTGAGAAACTTGTGATGACACAAGCAGGTGCCCAGAAGCAGATGTTGACCACATTTAGTTTTTGGGAACAATATTTGATATAAATAGTGTCAGAACACAGCTGAGAAACTGTGTCAGTGTTTTATCCTCTGAAATATTCAACAAAGTGCAACTTTTACTGTGCATAAAAATAGAAATATTCACCAGCTGGCCCAGGAGCAGGACCTAACTCAGTCTAGTTCTGCAGTATTTTTTACTGATATATTCTGCCAAAATGATAATAAAGGGGCAGCTATTTAGTTTGATTAATCAGATCAAACTGTTTCATACAAATACTCTGTGACAGACTTAACTGGCACAGCAGTGAAAGTAATAATCCTGTCATTACATGTATATAGAAAAAAAATTGCAATGTCAACCAAATATGGCAAATAAGGATAAGATACATTATATTTTACTTTTTACAAAAAGACAATAAGCTTTGCACCAAGAAAATTTAACTTTTTCATTTATTGTCCTCTATGTGGATGCTTTGTCCTTGAACTGCTCAGAACTGTTCAGTTTCATCCAGTCCACCTCAGGACTACACAGTGTGTGCTTCCCTCTGGTGTAAAGCCTGTGCTACTACACAAAGAATAATGTGAAAGAAATATAAAAGACATTTTCTTTCTTTTTTGAAACATATTCGAGTCCCTCGACAATTCTTTTAAAAGGTGCAAAACTGTGAACTGTGCAATTCTTACAGTGCTAGTATCCCCACATTTTTGGAATTGGTGACAGAACCAACAACACTACTTAGCCATCTTGAATGGGGAAATAAAACCTATTAGCTAGCGGAGGTCTTCATGTTATTATATTTTACATAAAAAAGTACCAGTCCCACCTGCAACAGAATCCTCATTCAGTTACCCTTGCAGAACCCCCAGATATGTCCTAAATACTGTCACGTAAAAGTCTGACCAATATGGAGAATTTAAAAAAACATTTAAAAATCTAAATAAATAAATACATTTTAAGTACAATTTCATAAACTCTTGCATGTACAAACGAATACTCCAAATGCAACGGGGTTGCTTTGTGGTGCCATCTGGTGTCAAAGTATAGAATATTTTTGCCCCTTTTGCAAATTTTTTATGGAAGCTTTCAGATGACATTTTACAGTATCTTAAGCATGCTGAATAAATTGTCTACTTTTTATGATTAAAAGATTAATACATCAATACTACAACATTTTTAATGCATGTGGAATCTTTGATTTGTTAAGATTTGAAGCACAAAAGAAAATAGTTTGGAATTACTTTGCCTCATGGCAGCAGAACAAGTGAGAGCTTTATGTGTCAGAGCTCTTTTGTGAATGAAAATATTCTCAATGCATTAATTATATCTATGTCATTAGCTGGTACTACAATAAACTTATCCACCTATACTGATAGTCTGCAGACTTAAAAAAGAAACTTTTTTTTTTTTTTACATAAACACTCATTTAATTCATCCCAATATAGATTACACATGGAAAAAGAGAAGTACTTCCCTTTAGATCTAATGATATGACAGTTTAAGATCAGCTTGGGGTTCTCACTAGTCAGCTTTTCACATCAGCTGGTGTTTTCAGTGAGGATTTAAGCTTAAACAGGATGCTACAGGTGACCTGAGGATAAATTTTCTTTTTCTTTACAACAACACAAAAAGAAAATATAGTTCCTCTGTGGTCATTGGGCATGAGCCACTATAAAATATGGAATGTTGTGTTGAATGTAAGTAAAACAAAACATTTCTCTGCAATAACAGATAAGATAAACTGAGAGATAACCCTTCCTTAGAACTGTTCCCAGGCTGCTACTGTATGCGAAAATAAGGAAACATTTCAGTCCAGTGTGTTTTGACAACAAAAATAACTGAAACCTATTGCTGTGAAGTCTACCTTAAATTCCTTATGATAAAAGCAGAAACGGCTCCAGCAATCAAGGCTGTACATTTAAACTGGTTTCAGGTTAGCTCTGAAGTCTCATACTACAGGACTGACAGTCAGAAAGCAAAAAAAAAAAAAAAAAAATTACAGGGTTTTAACATTGAACTAGTGTCACTTGTTTCCTTACATTTATATTTCACAAAGTGCAAAATGTCACTTAAAATATGCAACCAATTATAGAAAAGAAATTGTGTGTGTGTGTGTACATATATATATATATATATATACATATACATATATATATATATAAAAATAACACAATGGTAATAAATTCACAACCCCAAGTCACCTGTACCACACTCCACATACCCACGTTTTCCCATCAGCTAACCAATGGAATAATAATTGTAATAAAAAAAAGGAATCACTAAATGCATGCTGCAAATACGCCCACCATTTTCATTTAACAAGGCTTTTTTGCCTTTGGAAATCTTATGGTACACCTTTACAGTCAACGTGCACCTATTTAAAAAACAATTTTTTATTAATTTATCATTAAATAGGATACCTCTCATACAGTCTTGCATGCATGAAGAGCATTTTGGGCAAGCTGTAAAAGAAAGAGGTGTGCGGACGGACTTGCTCAGACTCAAGTCCCTGAAAGACTGAGGCACATTTTAGCAAACTGTAAACTGTTGTGCCTTGATAGCCCAAACAATATCGCTCCAGTGTGAATTTCTTCTTACTTTAAAATTTATGCAACTTGGTGTTTCTGTATGATGTGAAACCAGGAGTCACCAAATGTCTTCAGTAAATCACTGAAGTTTTGTTCCAAGCTTCCGTTGTCTATTCCTAAAATAAAAAGTCAAAAGTTAATTTGAAAGAAAATACCACACGTGGTCGAATACATAGAAAGCTATATCTTACCTCGCCTCTGATCGTGTGACTGTATACTCAAACCATAGAATGTTGGGGATCAGGCTTGTGTCTCGCACCAGGAAGTATTCTGACAGAGGCCTTTTTAAAAAAATGGAAAAATAAAAAATATTAGATAGACATCCCTAGTGACAGAAAACGGGAGCAGAAATGAAATGAGGCCACTTCTTACCAGGCTGCTATTTTAGGGAATAATGGTGTCAGCACCTCTTGCGTAAAGAAGAACCATATTATACCAATCGTAGTACCAGCTATTCCACCATAGAAAACCTGGCCCCATGTATGATAGAGCAGATAAACCCTGGAAAATGCAAACAGAGGTTATACTTTCCATATTTATTTCTTATATACATATAAAAAATATATACTACTGAATAAAGGGTCTTGTATACATAAAATAAAGATTAATTACAGTAAAAGATATGTAAAAATAAACAGTGAAGCACCAATAATTTTCTGAGCATCCAAATATTTCAAGCCTGAGTATGTTCAATGTTAAGTGCAAAACATGTTCAGTAACATACCTGCTGTAGGACACTGATAAAGCAATGCCCAACAGTATGATTGACAATATGTGCCTCCATAGCAGATCCACACATCGAGCATTGTTTGTTTGATGCATTCTAGGAAAAAATTATAGACATGAACAATTAAGACAGGGAAAGAAAATTATGTTATATTAATGTGTTTGGCAAATATACCTCAAATAAAGAAAAAGGAAGAAGTAAATAACAAAGAACCAAATAAGCTGCGAATGACTAGAAGGCATTCCATACTCAGTTGGCACATTGGAGTGAGATCCTGCAAAAAAAGAAAAACACAATGAGAATTTTAAGCCTCGTATGATAAGTACATATACTTGACTTTATGACCTGGGGAATTTTGGGCAGTATGGCACAAGATATTATTAACACACATTCAAATGTGAAATTATAAAGGAATTCTTTAATTCTTTAACTTTATTTCTGGGCAATTTAATTGTTAAGTATTCAACTATGCTGTTTAACCCAACCCTTCCAGCTCTCACCTGCACATGGGCGAGGCTCTCTGAATATGTGCTTGAGCAACCAGTTTACCCCTTCATTAAGAAGGATTCCAGTGAAGAATGATATCTGTTGGCATACAGAATTTTTGGTCATGTTTATCATGTCACTGTCTGGGCAAACACCAACATACCTTATTAAAATTGAATGCACCATTGCTGTGAACAACTCACCGTGTGTAGTTCCCGCTTGAACACTATGAGTGTAACAAACCCCACAAGAATAGCAATGGGCAGCAAACTGATGTAGGCCAGCACTTGTCCTGTCAAGTCACCTAGATGGAAGGAACACCAGTGAAACTTCACAAGCATGAGACATTGACTTAGCTGTAGAGGCAAGGAAGGCTTACACATGCCATTTATTGATTATCATTACTGTTATGATTAACAAGTGGGTAACCTAATTACTTTGTTTAGACGATTTTTAGACTGCATTGATTTAACACCAACCTAATAGATAAAAACAAATAAAGTAACAAGACTATTGAGTTGGCAACGGTGTTAGCCTTTCCCAAAAGGTGTCGTAGAATAACAATAAATCTCGTAAAGTGGTATTACATTCATTCTGAATTATACTTCAGTGTGTGTTATTATATTTTTGCCAGTTATTTAACAATACACATTTAACCGATTCAAACAATAGTTACCACTGAAGAAAAATAGAAGAAAAAAGCAAGCTAGCTAGCCTTTATTGTGGCCATTAAGCTGCAGACTGCGCATGTGTGACTGTCTCACAATTTGGCAGTCCGTGTACTTTGCTTGTTGGCTGAGGCACTGAATGAGATCGCACTATTTGGCAATAACAACGACGGCTGGGTTCATTCAGTAGCCGCAAAACAGACGAATCATTCGACACCACCAAACACATAGCAGCTAGCTGAGTAATGACTAAGTGGATATATTATATTTACTCACCATCAGCAAACTCTATGTGTGTTAAAGATATAGACCGCCATCGAGCTGGTGCCGAGCACTGTTCTTCCAACGCCATCTTACCCGGACACAACCGGGCAGTCTGTGCGCTCCGCCTCAGACGCGTGTGTGTCCAATAGAGAGGGCACCCGGGGCTCACACAGGCCCCAACACGGAGGCAGCCGTCCAATGGCAAGCACGCCTTCTGCGGTATGTAGCCATAAAGAAACACTGAATGAATAAAACAGGTATTTGGTACAGTTGCAATCGTAGAAATATTTTTAATAACTTTTCTTTAAGACAACTATTACTTTTAACATCACTCCCATGGAGGGTAGGGGGATTTGTTTGCAGATTATGCAGAAAATCGAAAGAAAAGGCATGGTTGTTCACGTCTGTATTTTACTTTATTATGTTGATTTGACCATTTCAAGAACACGTTAGAAAAAATCAAATATTTTGATAACAAAAAATAGGATTTAATATGGAGAATATACACTTGGTACTGGCATAATAGACAAAAATAAATACAAGGCAAAAATGGGATTTTTGTATCTCTACTTTTCATATAACTTCCGACTTTTCAAACATAAAGAAGGCAAGGACAGTCAAAATTGGGTTTCCCATTTGTGTCTAAATGCAGATTAACAAATGCAGTAAGACAGTTTAAATTCTACACATGCAGCGGAGCAAGGCCGGTGAGAGGACATGGCAAAACAGAACTTATTCCAAACATTTACTTTTCTATTATGTTGCAAAGAGAAAAATAGGATAGAGTTAAGCAAATACTGAAGGCATCCCCATGATGGTATTTTCCAATAAAGTGCACCAAAGTTTAAAGTTAAAGGCTTATCACATATACAGTTATTAAAAGGTGATTTTTACAGTTAATTGGTGAAAAAGAAAATATGACAAATTTCTGAAAGTAATAAAGTACATGGACTTTAGTAGTTAAATTATAATGATTTTTAAGTCACTCTCAAAAATTAGTTCCTCTAGCCAAGTTAGATTGCAAATTTAATATCCTTAGTTGTTATTTTTTGTACTAAATTATAATTTTCAAAATAATTTTAAAAAATCGAGCTAAAAACTCTTCCGAGGTAGATGTGTCCAAAAAATCCCATACTACAACTGTTTCATATTATAATTTCAATGATTACATACATTTCTTAAATGTGTTTGTCAGTACTGAATGTTATAGGCCTTTGCTGTTATCCAGTGTTTTATTGACCCCATATCATCAGTGAATCTATACTATTATTCTTAAAAGTCACACACTCCTGTCAAAAAGACAGATTTATATGATGCATATGATCATCAACAAAAGAAAATAAAGCATAATTTATGGGGCTGTTTGCTTCCTGTATCAAAGGGTTTAATGCACTGGAGTAGTGATATGTATGTATTGAGCCATGCGTGTATTGTATTGTGATGATTGAATTGAGCGATTGAATAAGATATTGAATATTGTTGCATCCCTGATTAAACACTGCAATAATATTGTTATTGCAATAATAAACATAGTTATCCAGTCACCTTTTTTCTCATATCCTGCAGCCCCATGAGACTGTCTCTTGTCCTCCATTTGTATGGTTGTGTGTTAAGGTCTGATTTGTTTTCTACATAATAAAAACCTGCAATTTCAGGGCTGTTCAGACTTTTATGGGCTTGGTATGTTCCCTTCGACAAATAATGACGTAAACTACCTTTTAAAAAGGCATAATGGATTATGTATACACTGCCAGTGCATGTTTAAAATTTTATACTATATACCAGTGCAGCAGTTTTATATAGCATACCATTGATTCATATTTGAAAGGTTTCCCTTGTGCCACTTGACATTTAAAAATATACCTTGCAGAGATAGATCTATGTTTTTTGAAGCATTTTGTTAATTTGTGGCAGACTCCCTACATTCTACCCCTTGTGGAACTACAGTATGAAATAACTAACATCAGTGAATGCCAGAAGTTTCCTCTGTTTCTTGTGGCAGGGAACCATTCAGCTCTAGAAGGCTTTCAATTCCCAAATACCCCAGTAAGATTTCACTGCGACGGTGAGAGAGGTTAAGTATGTCTTCAGACAAACAGTTGGCAGAGGTGAAGCGGACTTTGTCATGATCAAACATATCCTTAAGGTATTGAACAATTTGTTGCTATAAATAAGGAAAATAGTTTTAGTTTCAAGGGCAGTAGGTATATTTTGAGAGCCTTTATTTTTGCTGTAGCCACTTACCTTAAAAATTGTGCACACTTCACTTAGATGCTGCCTCGGCCCTAAAAATCCAAATGCTAAAACTGGGCTTACATGTTCTGATATGGCATAGAAATGTGAGATGAACCCGTCAGGAACCTTAAGAAAAACAAATATATATATATATATATATATTTTTTTTTTTTAAAGAGAGAAATGCCAGAAATTACTTAAAAATCTGTTGTCTGTTAAAAAAAAAAAAAAAAAAAAAAAAAGATTTGTTACAACTCACCATGAGAAGACGTCTTTTGGCTTTTAAGACTGACCAACAGGCAGTGGCCAAAGCCTAAGAAAACACAATTAGTGAAACTTGTGACATAGAACAAAGAGAATGATGCTTATGCAACAGCAATTTTATCGCATGAATTTTATTACCGTCTCTTTAAAGCTGTCAGACAACCAACGATTCCTAAGCACAGCAACTACAGAGGATGGAGGATTTTCCAGGTCTTCAAATGCATCCATCAGAATAAAGTCCAAAACTATGTCGAAAAAGTTCATGCACACCACCTACAGAGGCGCAATACAGTTAAAAAGCATAAAGCAAAAGGCATAAACAAATAATGTAAAATAGTGTTAAATTAGTGTTTGTCTGTTTAAACATAATCAGAAACATTACTCACTCCACGACCTTCTAACTCCATCTTAGTGACAGGCCACGTTTCCTCTCTTTTAGTGTAAAGCAGCATATCTTCATAGCTTTCTAAAAATGCTTTAGGACTCTGAATTGGGGAAAGCAACAACACGTGCTAGATAATGCATTTCATCCATAGAATACAGGCATAAACTAATGGAGGTACACTTACTTTGTTTGCCTTTACCATTAGGCCAGCAATCATTTGTTTCCCAGTCTCCATGAAAAAGGTTCGATGACTTTCATCCAACAGAAGCATCTGTAAAAAAAATTATAATAATAATAGTTTTTTTAAAAAGAACCGGTGATCAACTTTGCTGATATAAAAGTAACAAATAGTAAGTGGCATAAATAGGAGCAGACCTGGAATGCTTGTCTCACACAGTGAAGTTTGGCAAGAAAATCCTGGTCACTGTAACATTCAAGTAATTCTGTCCTATAGCACAGAATCAAAATCAGAAATGAAAATATAATTTGTCTTGGGCTGGAGAGCAAATTGCTACAAATAACACATAAAGGAAAACAACAAAACACATTCAGCAGCTCAAATGCATGCATTACAATTTTTTTTTTGAGGAAATGTATTTATAGGCACTGCTACTATCATTTTTTCCACACAATAACCAAAATAATCCACCCACTAATTAGATATATACATGTGATTGCATTCATGCATGCACCCTGCTGCCCTGCTTCAAAAATAAAGTGTTTTTTTTTGTCAGTACTTTATTACTGTAATGTTGACATAATGAAATATAATGTACCAGAAGATGGCATTGGTGTAGTAGGAGATATAGTTGGTTTAATTGGACAGACAAACGAGCAGCATGCACAGATCAATCAACAAAATGCAGTGAATGAACAAAAGAGAAATCAAAATCAAATCAATATTTGGTGTGACCACTCTTTGCCTTCAAAAGAGCATCTATTCTTGTAGGTATACGTGCATATAGTTTTTGGAGGAACTTGGCTGGTAGGTTGTTCCAAACATCTTGAAGAACTAACCACAGATCTTCTGTGGATGTAGGCTTCCTCACATCTTTCCGTCTCTTCATGTAATCCCAGACACACTCGATGATGCTGAGGTCAGGGCTCTGTGGGGGTCATACCATCCCTTCCAGAAATTCTTGTTCTTCTTTACACTGAAGATAGTTCTTAATGACTTTGGCCGTATGTTTGGGGTCGTTGTCCTGCTGCAGAATAAATTTGTGGCCAGTCATACACTGATGGTCTTGCATGATGGATAAGTATCTGCCTGTATTTCTCAGCATTGAGAACACCATTAATCCTGGCCAAATCTCCAAATCTATTTGCAGAACTGCAACCCCAAACGTTCAAGGAGCCTCCACCATGCTTCACTGTTGCCTGCAGACACTCATCATTGTACTGCTCTCCAGCCCTTCAGCGAACAAACTGTCTTCTACTACAGCCAAATATTTCAAATTTTGACTCAGCAGTCCAGAGCACCTGCTGCTATTTTTATACCACCCAGTTCCTATGTTTTTGTGCATACTTGAATCACTTGGCTTTGTTTCGGAGGTATGGCTTTTTGGCTGCAACTCTTCCATGAAGACCACTTTACCATCTAAAAAACATAGCGAAAATCAAAGGTTTACTGTCTAAAGCAGACTTGGAGAAACTTATCCATGCGTTTGTCTCCAGTAGGTTAGACTACTGTAATGGTCTGCTCACTGGTCTCTCCAAACGAGCTGTGAGACGCTGCAGAACATCCAGAACGCTGCAGCTCGGGTTCTTACTCGAACTAGGAAGTACGAGCACATAAGTCCTGTGCTCAGGTCTCTGCACTGGCTTCCTGTGCCTCAGCGAATAGACTTTAAAGCAGCTCTGCTTGTGTACAAGTCTCTCCATGGCCGAGCACCAAAGTACATCTGTGACATGTTAGTGTCATATGAACCATCTCGCACTCTGAGGACCTCAGGGACCGGCCTCCTGTTGGTGCCCAGAGTCAGGACTAAACAAGGGGAGTCAGCGTTTCAGGTTCATGCAGCTAAAACCTGCAATAGTCTTCCTGAACATGTGAGACAGGCCTCTTCTGTGACGCTGTTTAAATCCAGGCTCAAAACAATTCTGTTTAACTGTGCATATAACTGAAAGGTTTTCATTCCGCACTCTTCTCTCCAATTTATGTCTCTCTTTTTTAATTTTAATCTTCATGATTAAAATCATAATAAAAACAAATCAAAACATAAATAATGTATTTCTTATTCTGTAAAAGCACTTTGAATTACTTTGTGTACGAATTGTGCTATACAAATAAACTTGCCTTGCCTTGCCTTGCCACTTCTGGCCAGACTTCTCCGGACAGTAGTTGGGTGTACCTGGGTCCCACTGGTTTCTGCCAGTTCTGAGCTGATGGCACTGCTGGATAACTTCAGATTCCGAAGATTAATAAGCTTGATATGTCTTTCATTGGCTGCACTAAGTTTCCTTGGTCAACCACTGCGTCTACGATCCTCAACGTTGACCCTTTTTTGAGCTTCTTCAAAAGAGCTTGAACAGCACATCTTGAAATCCCAGTCTGCTTTGAAATCTTAGTCTGGGAGAGACCTTGCTGGTGCAGTAGAACTATATTGTGTGTTGTTGTTGTGCTCAGTCTTGCCATGGTGTATGACCTGTGACATGAGACCGTCTTCCACAACCTCACCTCCAGTTTTAAGCCTCCTACAGAGCTCTTTCTGTTTCAGTTAATGACTGTGTTCCAATCTACGTGTGACACTGATGATCATTAGCACCTGATTGGTATAACTGGTTGATCATACACCTGATCAGGCAAAAGGTATCAACACCAAATACTGATTTGACTTAGATTTTTCTTTTGTTCGCTCGCTTTGCATCGATAAAAACAATCATTATTTATATTTTTGAAAGCATTTGAAAGCTTTCTTTACAGCATTTTTCATACCTGCCTAAACTTTTTGCACAGTACTGTATATATAAATATTAAAATTAAAAATAAGTAAATAAATAAATAAATGAATAAATAAAAACTCCCCCCCTTTCTGCTGAACTACTTTTGCAAACTTTACCACATATATCACATGTGTATATGTGATAGTAAGCACATCACATTACAGCTGTTTTTTTTTTTTTTTTTTTATATATATATTATTGTTAACCTTGGTAGAGCTTATAATATAAACTTATACTTAATTTCAGTAAAGTATTTATTCCTACTGTTTTACTGTACAAATGCATGAGTATTGGATCATAAACATACTTCAAGAACATTTCTAAGTAGCCTACCCATAGATATGAATGGACATAGCTAACATGCTAGCTGCCACATGCTAAATAGGAAGTTCGCCGGGAGGCTCTTCCGGCTCTTTTTGACCTTGTCGCCCCTGTCTCTGTAACGGCTGTTGTGAGCCTCATCATTTTGATCTTAATGTGTTTGTATTAACCCGCTCTACATGATCCTGATTTTTTCATAACTTAGAGCCTGGCTCCAGATTGACTCCTGTAACCATAAGCATTGCGAGCCTCATTTGAATGGCGCTGAACACAATGGGTGACATCACATTCCCTAAGTCCACTTCTTACTATACATAGTCTATGAGCCTACCCAAGATCTTGGAAGAAACATATCAATGTACACATCTTTGTACGGACTACACCTCTAGAGTGTTACCTTTCATTAAGTAGTCGGCCTGCAAAACTAAAGTCTTCTGTCCGTGTTTTTGAAATAGATGTAATAGCTGATGATAGTTTTGATGTGAACATTTTAAGATTACATTACCGTAATGATCTGAAAGCTACTTTTCCCTCCCGTACAAGAGAAAGAGCTTCCTCATAAAGTGCTGCTGGTCTTAGTGGTTGGTACACTTGTTCTAGTGATAAAGCATCAAAAATCTGTGAAGAAAAAAAAAAAAGCAAATCATCTGAATTACAATCACCTTAAAAAAACAAAATACACTGTATTATTATATTATTGTTGTGTGTGTATAAACGCAAGAATTGATAATGTTATTTTTATTTTTGCCAGATGTGTAACAATGTCACTCGTAGCCACATTGAATCCAGCAAATAATGTAAATGCCAAAAGAAAATTTGCCCCAATATAAGAAAGATCCCTATCTTTCCTGTCAACAACTTACACTGTACAAAACAACTTAATTACTGTGAGTACTTAGTAATGCATAAATGTGAATCATTATATAATGTATTACTACATGACAATTGTGTTCTTACACTTGAAAGAAAATTACCTCTGCAGCTGAAAAGAAAGAGTCATCAGAAGTTACAGTGGTTGCATCATCATCTTGCAGTCTGTGAAAGCTTTCCACACAAGGCAAAATAAGAGTGCCTTCACTTTCTGTAAGCAGGACATCAGAAAAAGTTAAAAAGAAACTATTTGGCATTAGAAGCCAAATAAAATATGTGTTTCTACAGTTGACAAAGTACTCCAAGATCTATGTTTTAAGAGACTACTTGCTCACCAAAGTCTGCCAGTACACTATCTGCTGGGATACTGCTCCCAAAATCCTCTTGAAGATGATATGCCCTATGTAATAATGTTTCCAGTTTCTCCGCAAACACTTTGTTTCGAGTTTCATTCTGTATATATAATAAGAAAAACAAGTTACTATTAAAAGTGTTCATTATAAATTATAATACTAGGAAACTTAGACAGAGTTTATTGATCCTCAAGGGAAATTACATAAATAAAATAATAAACATAAAGCACACATTAGTAGCAGAAGAATTTTGTAATGCTTATGAATTGCAGAAATGTATAGGCACTTTATTTACCGAAGCAGGTTGTTCATACATTGCTCCTCTCAGAGCAAGGCTGTTGTTGCTGGATGTGGACTCTGTGCTGTGACGTATGTTCAGCGCCTGCTCCCATTTTCTCAGTGCCTCTTCAAACAACTCCATTCCTAGAGCATTACTGGTATGTTACTGAGCATGTCGCATTAAATTGATAGACTGTATATAAGAAGATTTAAATAGATAGAGCATGTGTATACCCATTAAGTAAAGATTTTCTGCATTTGCATCTTCTACTAATGATCTTTCTTCTACAACAACCTCATCCTCCATAGCTGGTTTTGCTGATTGATTTGGAGAGCTTGGTACTCTCATCTGAAACAGAAGCACAGACAAAGCATAATTTAATCCATAAGTATAAATTTAAAAATGCAATGTATAACAGGTCTTACAGATGCCAGGCTATGTGAAGAGCTTGAATGTTTACTGGGAGCAAGTGAAGATATTCCACTCATAGTGTCATTGCTGCGAGTACTGGGGCTCATCATTTGCCGTCCTGTGGGTGGACCTGAACATACACGGGAAAGCTTTTCCATCAAATGCACTGAATAATAATAACTGGCTTTGCAATTACTACATTTTTCTGGCAGTCATACACACCACGCTTTAATGATGAGGGTCGGCCTGCTTTAATCAGGTCATCTGGAATTCCTACAGTCTTCTGGGTTTCTTTTGCTTTTCTTTTTCTCCCTCGTCGTTTTAGCTGGTGAGCAGTGAGAGCCAAGGCCACACTTCCAAGTGCTGTAGCAAACAGCACCTTCTTTAGGCTTGGAGTGAGCTTAAGTTGTGAAAAAACTGACTATAAAACAGAAATATAGTACAATATTTAGGATTTGAGCACTGATACTGTTACAGCTAATCAAATAACTATGTAAATTATATAGGCCTTCGGTTCACATTGGGTGCAGAGTAACTGACCTGTCCAAATGTAGAGTATAGAAACACAGGGATCTCTGCAACAGTCATGGCCAAAGCATGGGCGATGGACATCCCATCTGAACGTTGGACTGACATGGCTGCAAACCAAACTTCTAACACCTTCTCATGAAGTTAGGGGAAGATCTCCTTTCTTCTTAGAAGTCAGCCATGGGGCTTATAATGTTCACGTGTGTACTCATAGTTGATTATTCCAGCATTATACCAGCATTTTAATTTTCTAAGAAAGGAAAAAAGAATAACAGAATAAATATCAACACAAAACGTTTTGGGTATAAGTGATTGTACATAAGGTAAATTGTTATCGTAATTTAGATAGCTAATTAGGTCTTAAAGAACACAGTAATTTAAATGCGTACAGTATTAACCTAACGTTAAATGTTAACAAGTAAAAAAAAAAAAGTAACTAGAAGAAATTAGCAATGCTGAAAAAGACAAAAATGCCTTTAGCTTTAATGCACCAGTTTGATAAAACACATTTTAATTCTACAGTTTCCTGTCGGTATCACATCCTTTTGAAGCATAGAGACCAAATAGATGGAGCAAATGGGTTGACTTTAGCGATAGCACGGTGTTAGCCTAGCACTGCCCTGTCATAATAGCATCAATACATCACTGTTTCAGCTTGAAATTATAAAGCATCTAGAGAGAGACTTCAAGCACTGCTCCAAAGCTCACCAGACACAGCTGAACGTTGTCATTAAACACGTACGAGTGACATACAGGGATCCATCGTGACATACAGTAGCATTCAATGCGCAACGCAATCAAAGGACATTCAGATTCACGGGCGCTACGGAGGGGCGGAGCAACTCAAACGCTCAGACGAAGCACGCAAGTTATTTATTTTCATATATATATATATACATATATATATTCACATAAGAGCCTTTATGAGTCATATATTTCATATACAGTTGCAGCAAAAACGCCTATGTTTCTCAAAATAGGAAAACTAAGAAGCGGACGTGGATTTTACCAGCACACTTTGAACTCACCACTTAATCTTGTCAAAAATGTAACAGTACTGACTGTGTCCGGATTCCGGGTTTGATTTAGCTTTCAAAATAAATCCAAGCGCATTTTGTATAAACGGTAGGCATTTTATTGTTGGAAGTTATACCAGACCTTATGATGACAATAGTGTTTACTTGTTATCGACTGTGTTATCTTGACAACAATTTGGGTGTGATAACGGTTTTAACGTCTCGAGCGTTAGTAGACCTAAATTAAAAGGTGAAGATGCCATATAGATGATACGAACTTTGAGATTATCTTCGCGGTTATGATTTTTTGGAGAAAATATGCGACCTAGCCTAGGTTCACAATGAAGTCGTACCAGGTTTTGCCTCTACATGTGTTCTGTAAGAAATTATTAAAAATGTTTTTTCTGGGCATTGGCTCTGTAAAAAGCCTAATAAAATCACAGGTAATTCAAGTTACACCAGCATAATCTACATGCATTACTACAATTGCTTATTGCTGGCTTTATTTGTCTTCCAATCCAGTGTTTCCGCTGGCTAAGTCTGCTTAGCTTAAGTCTTACTCTGTTGTTTTGGATCAGACAAGTAGTCAAACGGGACCCCATTCATGTTGCTTTGCACATCACAGGACTCAATGGCTATGCTCGAATCACAGATGGTAGGATGGACCAGGTAAGAAAATATACAATTTCTGTAAATTGGCCTTTATAAAATTATTTTATTCAATTAAACCTAGTTCATACCACATAATGTAGCGAAGCTAGTGCAGTGCTCTGATGTATATGTTTTAAGGCCCTGGTGGTTGTGTGATATACAGGCTTAGGTACTGGCTCTGTTAGCTTTTAAATAATTTAGAAATGGTGACCTACCCACCATACGTAATTATCTCAATTTGTCCATGCAGTGCAGACCCATAAATATCTAAAGTTGAGTTAAGAGAATCTAACAGCTTTTTGTATAGAAATAACTAATTATCTTTTCAAAATAAGTACTAAATACTCATTTTCTCCTCTACTCCTACAGTTCCTGAACATGTACTGCAGCCATTGTGCCTTAGTCTCAAGCTCAGGCCAGATGCTTGGAGCTGCTGTTGGAGAGGAAATTGATACTAATGAATGTGTGATTAGAATGAATAACGCACCCACAGTAGGGTATGAGAAGGATGTCGGCAGTCGCACTACAGTGCGAGTTGTGTCTCATACAAGTGCACCCTTATTGATTAAAAATGAGCCCTACTACTTTAAACATTCTGCCAATACTACTTATATATTTTGGGGTCCTGAAAGGAACATGAGACAAGATGGAAAAGGAAGAGTTTTTAATGCTCTTTTGAAAATGGTTAAAAAATATCCAGAAGCCAAAATGTACATAGTGACAAAAGAGAAGATACAGTATTGTGACAATGTGTTTCAAAATGAAACTGGAAAAAACAGGTGGGCTAACAGGAATGATTAATACATGGAATAGTCATACTTGTATGATTATAATCTTTCATGCATTTACAGAATGAAGACGGGTGCTTTTTTGAGCACAGGGTTTTTCACAATGATTCTTGCCTTGGATATGTGTGACAGCATTAATGTGTATGGAATGATTGATAACAATTACTGCAGGTGCACAAATGTATTTTATTATAACTTATGTTGTGGTCGTTATTATGTTGTTCCGAGTTAACCTGTTTCTTCTGGCTTTTTTAACAGTCGAGCCAATCACAGCGTTGTTCCATATCATTACTATGAGAACAAACGTATCAACGAGTGCCGTATGTACAATATTCATGAGAACACCAAACGTGGAGGGCATCGCTTCATCACTGAAAAAGCCATCTATGCCAAATGGGCAACACGTCACAAGATGGAATTTAAACATCCATCATGGAGGCTATAAAGCAGATGACTGCAGATCTGTGATTGTATTCTGAACTCTGAACCAATGCTTATTGCACTACAGAATATTTTAAGGCTGCTTACACTTAACTGAATATTTAATTTAGTTAATCTTATCTTCAAAGGCACATTGAAAAAAATGTGCATGCTGTTCTTGGCAAAGTACATTTGTATTAATTATTATCTAATTAATAGCTGCGTTTGACAACTGTGATGATTGGTTATATTAATACGCACATTGTTGTTTACATATACCCAATTAAATCCAAATAAATAACCAGTTACTAACTCTTATAAGTCCTTGCAAGTACATGCAAAGTAGGCCTACACAGCCAAAGTTTTAGTTGTAAACTGAAACCTATACACATCTGGAATGTACATTAACAAAAGTTGATCAAATGAATGTGCTTAAATAATTTTTAATTATTAAAAAACTGCAGTGTATTTTTATGTTTCCATTTACATGTAAGGTATATGTGAATAAAATGTGTTTCAAATTACTACAAGATAGTATTATTATTATTACTATTATTAATAATAGAAATATTTCATGTATCGCTGTCAGGACTATAAACTGCACCATCGCTATAAGATATTATTATTAATAATAATAAAAATATTTTATTTATCGCTGTCAGGGCCATAAACTGCTCAGCAGCATAAAACGCGAGCGTGACGTCAGCAGTGAGGGTGCAGCAAGAGGGGCGCACGAGAGGAAGACAACAGACAGTAAAAGAGCCGAGTTTACAGGCCCACATCGGTAAAGCGGAGTTATCAGACTACTTGACAATGGAACCGTTTCACATAATTACGGGGAACTGTAATCATGTCTTCAGGAGATATTATGTCGGCTACATTGCTTCTGTAAAGGTAGGTGGTGATGAGTGGAGGATGAGAAGATGCTGTACAGCTTTAACACCCTGAAATAATACGCCAGTCTATAGGCGGATTCCCAATGCTTCAGTTAAAATGAACGCAATTTATGGTTCTCTATCGAGCATTTTACTACTATGATTGTGGTTTGCGCTGCATATATCAGTAAATCACTCCGCGAAGAAATGTTAATGGCTAAATTCATTGCATTTTATCTGTATAGGTATGATGTCATTCAGGCAGATTCAGAGCCAAATCAAACAGAATGGGGCTCACTAGCAAGGTAAGAGCTAACATATATTCAAGCTGTGGACTTAGACCTATTTCCCTGTTGATATCTTAAGAAACAGCAATTGGCAGTATTAACAGGCCACTGTTATTATCATTGTCTCTGCAGGGGCCACAGAGCCACAGAATGGTTATCTGTGCAGCTGTACTTGTCCTGATGACACTCCTCATCCTTTATGGCTCCAATAATACCAATGATGCTGGTTTTGCTCCTTTCCATGTCTCAACACACCAGGCACTCAAGGCCACTGATTTGAAGAAATGGTCTTTGCGAGAGGGTTATGTCCCCATTTATGGAAATAAGGTAAAATAATTGAAAATAACTAATTTATTTAAATCAGTTAGTTTAACTGCTTCTGGTAAGGTGCCATAGCACAGTGTAACAGCAAACTCTACAGAGCCTTGAGGAGAGTTTTACTGGCTACTCTTATAGGTGTGCCTATACCACCAGAAACAGACTTAGTGACTCTTAGTGCGTCCTCTACAGTCCCTGACAAAAGTCTTGTCGCTTATCCATTTTGTAGAAACAAAAACTTATAACCTGACTTTAAATTAATCAATTGGTTTTAGAAATGTCTCATATGAAAGCTAAAACCCTCCCAAATTATGCTCAATATACTAAAATAAATTTGCTTCACTGAAGAAAGATTGATCATTTAATGAACACAGAAAAGTCAGATTTTGGCAAGACAAAAGTCTTGTCGTCTTGTCATATGATGCACCCAATCCTAGATTACAGCCTCACCTGTGATCAGTTACTGATCAATCAATTAGTGGGTGTGTATAAAAAGAACCCCAGCACACCAGACCTTCACATCAACTGCAACTTGACCTCTGACAACATGTCTAAGATCCACTGTCAGACCAAAGCGTTAATTATCAAGAGGCTGAAGACCAGATCCACTGCTGAGGTGGCTGACACCTTCAATGTGTCTCAGCGTCAAGTACAAAGAATAAGAAAAAGATCTGAAATGACTGGAGATGTTTTTGACAAGCCCAGGTCCAGCAGACCCCGCAAGACAACTGCTCAGGAGGCCCGTTTGTTGATTCGAAAATCCAAGGCCAGCCCCTTTTCCACTGCAGCAGGCCTGGTCACCTCAGGTCCCTGTGTCAACCAGAACAGTTTGTAGAATTCTGTCTCGAAATGGCCTCCATGGTCGAATCAGTGCACAGAAACCAGCACTAAACAAAAGGCAATTTAAAAAACTATGTGGCATTTGCCAAGGCCCACAGCCTGCTAAAAGGATGGACACTGGAAAAGTGGCAGAAGGTGGATTTCTCAGATGAATCCTCAGTTGAATTACATCACAGCCGCCGCAAATAATGCAGGAGACCTACTGGAGCCCTCATGGATCCAAAATTCACCCAGAAAACAGTTAAGTTTGGTGGTGGAAAAATCATGGTCTGGGGTTAGATCCAGTATGGGGGGTGTGCGAGACATTTGCAGGGTGGAAGGCAATATCAATATCAAGAAGTATTAGCTCCTCTTACATTCCCAACCATAAACGGGGTCAAATTTTGCAGCAGGATGGTGCTCCATCGCATACTTCTATCTCTACATCAAAGTTTCTCAAGGCAAAGAAGATCAAGGTGCTCCAGGACTGGCCAGCCCAGTCACCAGACATGAACATCATTGAGCATGTCTGGGGTAGAATGAAAGAGGAAGCATGAAGGCAAAACCAAAGAATCTTGATGAACTCTGGGAGGCATGTAAGACGCTTTCTTTGCTATTCCTGATGACATCATCAACAAATTGGATGAATCATTGTCGAACCGCATGGATGCAGTCCTTCAAGCTCATGGAAGTCATACAAGATATTAAATATGGATCTCACAGCACCACTACTTAATTCACTGACGTTATGTAACATATTTTTGTATTTGAAGTAAATTATTTGTTAAATTTTCTGTAGGTGACAAGACTTTTGTCTTGCCAAAATCTGACCTTTCTGTGTTCATTAAATGATCAATCTGTCTTCAGTGAAGCAAATTTATTTTAGTATATTGAGCATAATTTGCGAGGGTTTTAGCTTTCAAATGAGACATTTCTAAAACCAATCCATTAATTTAAAGTCAGGTTATAAGCTTTTGTTTCTACAAAATGGATAAGCGACAAGACTTTTGTCAGGGACTGTACTGGTCCATGTCTTCAGTGCCTGACACCGTGGAGCTCTTTTGCATTTGCCTGTAATAAAAGCATTGGGTGAGCAGTGACCTGTGGCTCTATGGCTTTTCATTCCCAGGATTCTGAGTTGTATTACTCTTGCCAGGCCATGTGTCAATATGTCTTCATTAGCTTAATAAAACATATCCAGGTCATAGGATGTTTGAGCCTGTGCCTTAAAGGCAAAAACATGACCGATAAAGGCGCAGATACAAGTAGAAACAGACCGTAGAACAGCCTCCTCTTAAGTGGTTGAAAAATGCAGAATGACTAAGTGACCAGCATGATGTAATGTGTATTTTTAATTAACTCAGTGTTTTTTAGTTCTGACATTTATTTCATTTACTGTTGTCAGTTATTGCACTATTGAACTATTTGAACATTTTGTATATTTTCCAGACCATGAATTTGCATTGCCATAATTGTGCACTGGTGACAAGCTCCAGTCATGTTTTGGGAACAAAAGCAGGTCATGATATTGACCGGACTGAGTGTGTGATCCGCATGAATGATGCTCCCACGCAGGGATATGATGACGACGTGGGCAATAGGACCACTCTGAGGGTGGTGGCCCACTCCAGCATCTTCAGGGTGGTCCGTAGACCTAATGAGTTCTTGCATCGTGCAGACAGCAACCCTATGATCATCTTCTGGGGACCACCAAACAAAATTGGGAAAGATTCAAAAGGAACATTATACAGACTGATCCAAAGAGTGAGCATGACATATACAAACCTTTCTTGCTTTAGTATTACACCAAGTAAGATGCGCAAATTTGATAGCCTTTTTCTGCGAGAAACTGGTCGGGATAGGTAAGTATATTGTTAAAAACACTACTTCTACTAATGTTTCGATACACTATGACATTGTCCTTGATCATGCAGGCAAAGATCTCATTCATGGTTGAGCACTGGCTGGTTTACTATGGTCATAGCTATTGAAATATGTGACAATATCAAAGTTTATGGAATGGTTTCACCTAATCACTGTGGGTAAGTACAAGATGTGAATGTCCAAAATATAAATTACCACTACTGTTATAACACTACAGTGTTTTTCTATAGAAAGAAGCCTGTATCCAAAAAGATGCTGTATCATTATTACAAACCTCGTGGACTTGATGAATGTGTAACTTATATGCAGAATGAGAGTGGCAAAAGAGGCAACCACCACCGCTTTATTACTGAGAAACAGGTATTTGCACGCTGGGCAAAGCAGTACAATATCAGCTTCATTCATCCAAGTTGGTAAAAAGCCACTGAACATTTAGAGAATAAGTGGAACTTTCTAGATTTTTTGTTGACTGAGCCTTTACAAATCCACACAATCGATATAAATATTTTTGGATTCATAATTATGAGATAGTGATTTTGTTTTACATTTTGCTTTGTTCCTCACATGGTCTGTGAATCCAAGGTTTTACTATAAATACATTTTAAATGAATTTTTATGAATGTTTATAGTACTTTGTTAAATGCATGTAATTTATGTCATTCAAATGTACATTTAGTACCTTTGGGGACTTAGCAGATATGTGATATTTATTGTCTATTTTGCTGCAATTTTTTGCCACTGTTGTCAGCCTATTTTGTGTTTGACATTTTATGAAATCATTTCAGCTTCAGAGTATAACTGATGATTCTGTACATAAAGAAAATTATATACTTTTACTTTATATAAGCAATAAGAAGTCTGCGCAGTAAATGTATGAATACAAATTTATGCCCAACATGTGCTTCCAAAATAACCAGACACTGCATCCAAGTTAGACTAATGCATGATTCTTTATACATTTTGATACAAATGCAAAACAGTCTTAGAATGTAGACTGTTATACAATTTAATTAACAGAAAATGCTGGATACAAAATAGGACAGATATTTAAAAATAAGATGTCACATAAGTAGACCACTCTTCCAAGTTATAAGAAACAAATACTGATCCATTTTACAAAACAGAAAAATTTTGACTGAAAACAAGGGGTATGCAAACAAATTTTTTAAAATGTTAAAATTGCCTTGGTAACCCTGTTTTTTTTTTTTTTTTTCCATTTTCTGGGTTTTTATTGTGTTAGTCACAGTCCAATGCATTATTAAACACATTTAGTGATAAATAATATATTTTGTGTAATGAATGATAGAATAATTTATGTGATGTGTATTCAAATATGTTTTAATTTTGTCAGTGTCCATTTAGTGACTCATTAGAATTATTTGAGAAAGCGGCAATAATCTTTGGTCTAAGGCCTGCCATTGAAATTAACATAGCCTCCTGTTGACAACAAAGCAATGTAGGTTAATTCAGTTCATTTGTAAACACATTGTTGAATATAAGTTTAATCTTCAAATCTTGAGACACTTACCTCTGTTCGTATGGTCCTGCTGCCCTGGCCAGGACATGTGTTCAGGTAGAGATCAAATAAAACACTGGGGTCAGTAACATCCAAGATTTGGTCAGCATCTAAACTTGCTTCTAATCCTTGAAGACCACCAAAAACAACCAATAGATGGCTAGGATTTGTTAGAGAAGGGCAAAAATTAACAGTGAACACTAAATTAATGCTCTGGACTTCACTGTAAACTTACTTAAAAGGTGTTAGAGATGTCTGGTCCAAGTGACTTCCTCTCTCAGATGTGCCTATAGTAAGATCATATCCATCCTTGTATGGACTTTCTGTAAATACAGCACCTGCATGGACCAAAATGTGTTAAGATGACCTGTTATATATTTAAGGTGGTTTTATAGCTAAAATGTAAGCTTACTCAGGCAAGATGCAAGACGAACTGTGTAACCCCAGTAGAGCCCATCTTCTGTCCTTGGCACGTGAGGAGCCACCACAATACCTTTGTACACTTTGCTTTCTAACAAAAGAGTATAAACAAAACAGTCTATAGACTATACAGTTAATGCATATAGGTGTGTTAAAAGTATTAGTGACATACACCTTCACTCTGGGTTTTATTGAGGTGTACTGTGACTCGGAGACCTGACTGCAATGGTTTGTCAATGCGAACATCCTAAAAAAAAAAAAAGTACTCTCACTTTCACATTTTAAAGTTTAAAATAAACACTTAGAACAAGCCTAACAATTGGACATACCCTTCTCATTCCACAGTTTACAAAGGAACCTTTTCCTTGTTTGGTTGGTCGGTCAAGAACTATTCCTTCTCTGTATCTGGATTCTTCGTCTATTCTCATGTGGTGAGGGCTGTCTAGTGGGTTAAGTAATCCTAGTAATTGGAGGCAAAGTGTTACTGATCTGGCAAAACAGTCAAGCTTTTTTGTTTAAACACAGTTATATCAAGACTTTCCTATTAATTACCTGCATATTGTAAATCCTGATGTTTAGGAAAGAACCACTTGCGGAGATATCTGGATGGAATCAAAACATGTATAGTCAAAATACGGAACAGCCTAATATACGCAAATGCAACTAAATAAAGTTATTACTGAGGGCATTCTAAGTATTGAAGTATTCTTGCAAGCTGAATACAGGCTTGTCCTTTCTTTCCAACACCTTTGAATTCACCTTCCACACTTCTGTAAAAGAATATAAAAAACATCAGCTTTTTGAAATTATTATTTTCTTTCTGACCAACTTACTTTACATCTTCCCCTTGTTCATCAAAGACTATTATTTCATCCACACAAAAGACCACACATGCCCGAGCGATCTGCCCAGCCAGGTATGTACGAAGTTCTGCTGACTGAGCATTGTCCAGAACTGACCCAGGTAAAGCCACGCTCACCGTGTATTGCCGACCTGTTACGTACACATTTTATTAAGTTTAATCATCCATGGCATAAACAATCACAGATGTAAAAACACAAATTATTATTATACCATTATTGTTTTTGTTCTGTTCAAATATTTCTTTTTGAGCTGCTTCTTTCTGTTTTTCTTTCTCCAACCTTTTGACCATCTTGGCATGTTTCTTTTGTTTAAGAGTCGCTTTAACTGAAAAGAAATGATATACATACAATAAATGGTAAAAGTTTACATTTTTATATAGTGCTTTGCCATCTTCCAGGCACTTTACATTAAGGAACCGCTCATCCATTCACACATACTCCAGTACATTACATTGTCTGATCCCATTGTCGACAATTGAATCAAGGGGGGTTAACCATCTTGCCCAAGGACACAACATCAGCATTCAAACGTGGGACCTGGAATCGAACTGGATCTTACCGCTCAACCAATGATGATTATGTCGAGAGCGGGACATGAACCAAGAAACTGCGGACCAGTGCACAAACACAGTCGCCCCCAGCTATTGTCGTCAATAGCCCAACAGTCTTCTGAACCAGCATTCTCCCTTCTCACATTAATTAATTTCACAATAGGCAACTTTAATTAATCATTTTCCCAAAATGTTAATTTGGGACAGTGTTTCCAGTTAAAAGTTTATTTTGTTTCAATTGTCGTTCAATGTGTGTTTTCATACGGTTCTATTTTACACGTGCTAGCTCCATGTTAGCTCTTCACTCACGTTCTGCTTTTCTTTTCTTCCAGTTAACGTGGCCCTGCTCCTATACAATGCAAGAAAAGATTATAACATCAGTAAAATTAAGGCATCACACTTCATCACAATCACAATGCAATAATACCTGACGATTCAAGGGTTTCTTCGGTGTATTAGAAGCAGACATATCCAAAACAACGTGAGCTTCTGTCACTTCTCGGTCATCACTCTTCAAAATAAAAGCACGAACAGAAGAAGGAAGTGAGATTCTCTTTAAATGCATTTTATTTATTGTTTGCAAACAAACTAAATCAAAATCAAAGCTAAAACAAGTAACACGTAAGTAAATTTTCTATGGGAGATATAAAACTCACAATTTAATTCATAAAACACGATAAAACAATTTTTTGTCCCTTTTTAATACACATTTTATATTGCTCCACCAAAATCACAACAGCAGTCACCTGTCCAGGCTTCACAAAATTGTTCATTCATTTAATTTAACCAACAGAAATTTAGAAAATCAAACAATGGAACACTCATAGGTCAATGACTTGGCTTAACCAACACAAAAATGAAAAAACATTTTCACTTAATTTATTTGGACAATAGCTGTCAACAGAACATTAAAAATAAAAAATTAATGTGAGATCTTTTAAACAAAACTGCAGATATGTCTCTTAATAGGACAATCGCACTCAAAAATCAGATTTCCCAAAAATATTTTACTCACTAAAAAAATAAAATAAAATAAAAAAATCTACAATTGTATTTAGATTTTAAAAAGTAAATGCTACAAACAGGAGGAGACACAGACAGATGTTCTTTGCATTAACAGATAGTTTACATTACAAGTTTAAAAGGGGAGTTTATAGTATTTACTTTGTAGAGCTCCACTTTCTCAGTATATCTTCTGCTGCATCTAGAGTTGAGTCCTCCTGTAGAAAGAGCAACACCACATAAAATAAAAACACATTTAACGCTTTAACGATAACTAATGGAATTGGAACATTAGTATTCCAAGTATATTTAGTATTTTCATTTACCTTGACGAAACAAAATCGAATATATTTATTGAAGTCTTTTTGGTGTTCTGGACTGTAAAATGCTGACACTGGGATAGTGGCCAAACCCTAAAAATTGAATCCACACTTCAAGTTGGTACAACATGTATTTATAATGCAAAACAAAGATATATTTATTTGTATGATGAAGTATAATGACCTTTTCCCGAATTAACCATTTGACAAATTTAAAATCATATTCTTCGTCTTGTGAGTCTTGATCTTTAAGGTCTACACCTAAAAGGAAATACTGCATTGTATCAGCAGATGTAGCATTTATACACATAATAATAACTTTATTCAACATTTACTTACCAAGAGTAGAGACGTCAACAACCATAAAATAACCTCCCTCCGGCATGATGGGCTTCAAACCCACACTTTCAAGGCACATGGCTAACTTTTTTCTCTTGTGATGCAGTATTGCAGGAAGCTGCTGAAAGTAGCTCTCTGGAGTTTCAAAGACTTCATATTCTCTGTCAAATCCACAAGCGACAGCCTCCTAAAATATGTGCAACCAATATGAGACAATTCACTTAAAAACATTTATATTAACATTTGCACTCCAGTTGAGCTATCAATTGTTGCACTACCTCTGTCTATGCTGAAGAAATTACAGTAGATTTTATGCAACATTAGTTAGATTCAGTTTACCTGGGCAGCAGTTGCACAGTGATACACAGAGTTCTGATGCAGTGTTTTCATGTGTTTGATAATGTGATCTGAACCAATGGCCCATCCAACCTACAAAAGAAAATTATATCTTCAGCCAGTGAAACACTTCTCCTGCTTTGTTACATTTAAGATTACAAAATATACCTTCCATCCAGTAGCACTGAAAGTCTTTCCAGCACTGCCAACAGTTATGGTTCTTTCCCACATACCAGGAAGGCTAGCTGTTAAAAACACAGGAATCACTTAATGGCTCAACAGTGCACATGCAATTTTTAAACATATTTTGCTTACAAATCTTAACATGCTTAGCTCCATCATATGTCAGCCACTCGTATACCTCATCACTGATACACAGAATATCATTTTTGATGCACAGGTCAGCAATCTCTTGAAGTTCTTCCCTTTTATATACCTGTGTTTGAAAAATGTCAACTGTGTGCATCTTGTAATTGCATTTATAGAAATTTTCTTTTATACAACATATAAATGGAGGCAGTCTTACCTTGCCTAAAGGATTATTGGGTGTATTAATAACAATCGCTTTAGTACGTGGAGTAATTTTACTAGCCAGTTCTTCAGTTGAAAGAACCCAGTCCGCACTAGATAAAACTATTTTATCTTCACTTCTCTGCGCTCAAACATTATACAAGTTTATTTTAAATAACTCATGTTATTGATTGAAAATGTTAATCACTTACAGGTCTCAAAGGTACATATACAGGTTTTCCACCAGCCATCCGGACCATTGGCTGATAGCAGTCAAAGAAAGGTTCTACAATTATGACCTAAAAAATATGAAGAATAATATGACTAGTACTCTTTATTCTTGAGTAATATACAGTAATAAAATGCATTTTGCATTACATTTTAACATGACATTTTAAACCTTATTTTTGTGCATGACCTTAATTTATTATTATTTGTTTAATGTAAGCATCATAATGCCGAGGCAAGTTCCTATTTCATGAATTTTGTTCAACAATGGCGATAAAACTAGTTCTACTACATGTATTGTACACACAAGTTTGTAACTGGGGTAAATATATGGTCATATTTAATTATGCTATAAACTTGTTACTTTAATATAATTTAGTATTATGAAATGAATAGCATCACTCACTTCATCCCCTTCATCAACCAGTGCTTGAAAGGCACAAAACAGTGCTTGATAAGCTCCAACTGTGACAAGGATGTCCTCAAAAGGGTTGATTTCATGACCCATAATCCTGGTAAAAAATGTGGCCAGACTTTTAACAAGGTGTGGGTGACCCTATAAAGAAAAAAAGTACAGGTAAACTAAAAATGTGTGTGTTTTTTAATGTTGTTTTCATTCCTTACAAAGGCACGGGTGTATTGGTGCATTTGAGGTCCTCCCATTACAGCTGAACAGAAAGCCTCCTGGACAAACTTGGGAGGGGAGAAATCAGGAAATCCCTGTCCAAGGTTTACAGCCTTGTAGTCTGCAGCAAGTTGTGTGAATTCGACCCTGACAGAGTAACAACATAGTTACAGAGAATATTACACGGCTATGTCCAGCCATGTAGGCTAAGGTTGCATTGTACAAAATCTTAATTGTATGACCCCACAACTGAATCAACGTTTGAGGCCACAAACTAAAACCTTGTAAATGTTTGTAATGTTAATGATTAAATTAAATCTTACCAAACATTTTTATCCACACCTTCGACTCTGCGCGCATGGATTTGTCTTGACATCGTCTAAACAGGCATATGAATTTGGCATGTTATTTTAATTTCATTGGGACAGTGTGTTAAATTAAACAGGCCAAGATTACTCTACAAACCGTGCTATATGCTGTAACGTTAGACGATCTCGGACGAACAACGCTTAAAAGCTGCACAATGGTCCTAGTGATTCCCATTAACTGTATTTCCAACACTCATTATAACACTTGTTTTAACACATACGCCGACCTACCACATAAAAAAATAAAATAAAAAAATCCGTCAATGCAAATACAAATGCGTCAACATTCGCCATTCAAACTATAAGTTAAGTCGAGTGAACCATTTGTGTTTGAGGAGGGAGAGAGAAGCGATATCTTTTTCCCAGGGTCCTTGAGTCAGATTTTTACTTCCTGTATGGGCGGAGCAAGATTAACGAGGTTGACTTATTGCTGCAAAACATAACAAAAATGCATACATTTTCTACTCTAACACAAAATAATTTTAGTGTTCATGGTATTCAAATTATACATGACAAGATTTACAGTAGATTTCACAAAACTGTATTTATTGACAAACTGCTAATCATACATGTATAACAAATGTTCTCTAAATGCCAGCCTTTTTCAAGTCCTCTGGGAGGACTCTGCCTCTTTTACGTGCTCTGTCCTTCTTCTTCTCTACTTTGACTTTCTTGCGCTTTAAAATGTTCTTTTTTCGCTTGTCTTGTCGATGCTGCATCTTCTCCAGCACGTTCTCACTGCGCTGATCCCACTTCTTCTTCCGCTGGGTTTTCCTTTTTTCCTTTCTTTTTAATGCAACACGCAGCATCTTTTCATCATCTTTAATTTTAATGCCCTCTGCTTTGTATAGTAAATTTGTCCACTTCATCTTATTCTCCATCTCAAGTGCCTTGTCAGCATCCTTCTCTTTCAGCTGCTCAAGTTTAGTTTTACGTGCTTCCACACGACTGAGCAGTTGCTTGTAGTTCTTTCCAGTTAGTGGCGTTATCTGGCCCTTTAAACTTTTTCTCTTATTTTGCTTCTTTAACATTTTGTCTTCATATCCCTCTTCTACTGTTTCCACTTTGTTGAATACAATACCCGTTTCATTCCTCTTACTTATAGGTGTCACAATCTCACCCTCCTGTTTAATCTCTGGTCTTGTTTCTACCTCACTTTTTTCAGACAATTTCTTCATTTGAATCTCCTTTCTCTTCCTTTTTTTGCGTTCCCGCTCAAGTTTTCGCTTTGCCCTCTTGGCTTGTACCTCTGGTGATGAAGCATCCTTTGGTGGACCCTTGGAAACAATTGAAATTAATTAGATAACATTTTGGGTTGGCAGTGCATACAAGTGTATATATACTATTCTTTTAATTTTTTACAGTTTTTAATAATAATTTGCATTTAATGGAGTGCCTGTTGTTCAGAAATTAAGACTATGGCCCCGTGGCTGGAGTTTAATGTTCTCACTTTTCATCATTTGGATGTTAATTTTATATAACATAAAGGAATGTGAACCATTGGAGTAAGACATAATTAATGCAGACAAATAAAAAGTCAATTTCATGTAGTTGAACCTGTTAGAATAATGTATATACACTACCTGTCCCCTGGACTCTTCAATCTTTTCATGCAGCCTCTTGCGCAGCAGATCCACCCCAGAAAATTTTATCTCAACATTATCTGTGAGAAACAAAATCATACAGAGGAACTTAATAAACACAAAATGCCTCAAGTGTCTGACTATTAAAAACACGTACTTTTCTTCAGATTTGCATTCCCCTTTTTGGCCTTAACTTTGACTTCATCTGGGCTTGCTTTATCCTCAGTTTTTTGAGTCACAGGATTGGTTGTTGTTTTGTTCTGTTGAGACTTCAGAGTTTTCTTTTTCACCTTGTTTTTTTTAGTGGCGGCATTATCTTTTGCGGCACCCTTTAAATTTCCTGTATAAGAAAGATATTAGCCAGTGAGTGAGACAAGAAAGCCTGTGTAAATTTACACTGTAATTTTACAGTCACAACAACGCATTCAAATTACTTAGCCTTCATACGGCTGTAATGTGAAAAGAAATACGCTCATCTAAAACTTTGCTGAAAGTGAAAACGTAACATAGATGAGCAATCTTCAGGAATATTTTACCAAAACGTCTCTTCTTTGGCTCCAGTTGTGGTCGCTGAGAAAACACCCGACTAGCAAGACTTTGAATATATAAATCCTTAGAGACCAGATCCATGTTTGCCACCCGTAAAGTAACACTGCGCTGCCCAAGACTGAGTTAAAAATTAAGCATTCACGTTAAAAACATTGCACACACGTGCTGGAAAAACATCATTGTACCGGAAGTGGTAACACTAAAATCATTCCCCCGTCTCTCGAGTGTTATGTACATGGATATTTCCTTGGTTATGTATTTGTACTTCAAGTGGTGGTCGGACACAGAGATGTAACTTTTCTTTCATTTCTTTCTCACGTTATTTATTGTGTCAAAGATCGCTATGAGGACATTATTATTCTTCTATAATAAGACAGTCACGTCACTAACACAATGCGTAAGTATTGCGTCAGTTTCTAGAAAAATAACACGAACTTTACAATTTTCACTTATGGTGGGTTGTTATTACACAGACTCTTGCTGTCTACACCAGAAAGTCCCACACACTGTCCAGATTTCAATTCGTTCAGCATGCAGGAGGTAGCAGTACAATATAGCAATACAAATGTGTGTTTTTGTTTTGTCTTTCCACGATTTAACTGTTTAAACCTGTGTTGATAGGAAAGCATGCTTGCCGACAGTGCAGTTCAGCAGCTGCTGAAGCAGAGAAAGACTCATTTTTTAAATGGTTTCTGCTGCTTATTCCTGTCAGCACCTTTGGTCTGGGAACATGGCAGGTAGGAAAACACAATGCCTGCCAAAGCATAGCCAAATGTACTCCTGCAGTTCCCTTTTGCTATGGCACGAGCTTCTGGGGTTCCAACCATGACAGATAGTTCTAATTCTAAACTGTTTATCCAATATTAATTTGATTATTTGTTTGTGAAGGTTAAGCGGCGTCAGTGGAAATTACAGCTGATTGGCGATCTGACCAGACTCACTACAGCTGAGCCTATTCCTTTGCCTGCAGAGTAAGTGTTATTTTAGTTCCATTTATTACACAATTCATCATTACTTTTTAAAACCGTGTACAATTTGGACACACCTCTCATAAATTAAATTAATTAAGTCTTTTGTTTTTCTGCAGCCCTCATGAACTGAACAACTTGGAATACAGGAGGGTGAAAGTACATGGAAGATATGACCACTCAAAAGAACTGTATATCATGCCCCGGTCACCAGTTGATCCTGAGAGGGAAGCGCGAGAGGCGGGCAGGATCACATCCAGTGGAGAGATTGGTGCAAATGTAATCACCCCATTCCATTGTACTGACCTTGGGTAAGAAAAATGTGCAATATTTTTGTTGTTGTATGTCAGCTGTACTTTGATACTTATTATTTCAGCATCACAATTCTTGTCAATCGTGGGTATGTCCCAAGGCAGAAGATTAAGCCAGAGACAAGGATAAAAGGACAGGTACAACATTATGCTTTAATCAAAGACCCTATTGCCTTGCTTTACAAACGCTGTACCATGTGTATGTAGGTGGAAGGGGATGTAGAGGTGGTTGGAATAGTCAGACTGACAGAGAATCGGAAACCATTTGTCCCAAGTAACGATGTGCAGAAGAACCGATGGCATTACCGTGACCTGGAGGCCATGGCTCAGCTTACTGGTGCTGAGCCCATCTTCATTGACGCAGACTTTGGTAAGATCAGTTTACAGTTTTAAGTGGCATTTATTGTGTGTGTGTGTGTGTGTGTGTTTAATGTGTGGGTAAAACTGCTGCTTTCATTTGTGTGGCCTTTTGCATTATGTAAGAGTTGCAAGTTGGTCAGTCATTTAGCTTGACCCATACTCAGAACAAAGCTATTCACCGAAGCTTCTACAATAGCTACTTTTAAAAATACCTTAAAAAAAAAAAAAGAAACCGTGCTAACTGTTACTTATATTTTAGAATATAATGGTTCTAAATGGATGGTACATCCATTATGGCATTTCAAATCTATGTATAGGACCCATGGAAGAGTCCCATGCGTTTGAGTTTCAAGTCTTTATAACAAATGACCAAATATAAATAGCAAATAGCTATATGAATTTTGTCCCAGTCCTGTCTATAACATTCAGCTCATTAACCCTTAGTGCAGAAAGTGGTCTAAGTCTCTCTTGTCAGAGTTTTCTGTTACCGGTCTCTTCCTTGTGTCCCTTTTGTTACATGATGATATTCACCTTTAATGCTGTTAACTGTCTTACAGCTAGTACGGTTCCTGGAGGACCAATTGGCGGGCAGACAAGAGTAACTCTCCGAAATGAACATATGCAATACATCATTACATGGTAGGTGGAAACATGTCCCAAATGTGTTGTGCAGTCTTCCTTACAATTTGGTCCTCTTTCTCCAATTCAGGTATGGCCTTTGTGCTGCAACATCTTATATGTGGTATGCAAAGTTTGTGAAGATGATTAAAATATAGTTTGTGGAACAATGTAAGAACATTTATGTGCATTAAAGCATGTCACTTTAATTTGACCCTCCTGGAGTCCATTACATTTTTGAAGTTTAGGACACAACCTACACCATTATCCAGGTCTGATTTTATTTCAAGCAACTTTTAATCACATCACACTACTCACCAACCCATTACCAAAATTTACCATTTAATGAAAATTGCATATCAATGGTGAGTTCTACCAGTTTCAAGTTTGCTCAGGACAGTCTGAAATGGTTAAGATGCTTCTAAATGGCAACTGAAATGTGTTTTTCTGAAGCACACCTGGCAAGATTGCAAACGGTACAATATTGCAGTGGTTCTCAACCCAGGAATTGGAACCCCATGGGGAAAATTTTAAATATATGCAATTATCTTAATGTTGGTGTAAACGCATACCCATTTGTTGACCCATCAAATTCATCTGTTTAGCCAAAAGATTCTGAGCATAGGCCTTGACTACATAAAATGTTAACTGCATTTAATAATCACACAAGTATAATTTGGGTAGACTTTTTATTGAAAATCAGTTTAACCAAGCTTTGTAGCAAGCTCTTTAGCCTTTGCCTTTTCCAGCTTGGCAATACGGGCCGTAGATTTCGGTCCCATAATTCCACCTCCCCAGTGACGACGGATCTGATGTAAAAATAAAGAAAATTAGCTTTTATTCACAAATTGGCATGCATATTAAAAAAAAAGCACCTCACCTCCTCGTATCTGTCATTGTAGTTTGTCTTGATTGCTTCCACAAGCTTGGCAAGTGCACCCTTGTCTTCACTTTAGAACATAAAATTCAGAGCTTAGAATAAATTAACATTGGATGCATGCATTGTACTTATAAAACCTTAACTTACGGGTTAATCTGTGTGAAGGCAACTGAAGTGCAAGTCTTTCTGTGCACCAGTCTACCCAGTCTAGCCTTGCCCTTGACGATGCAGTAAGGGACTCCCATTTTGCGGCACAGCGCTGGCAGAAAGACAACCAACTGGAAAAATGTACATTATTAGAACAGAATAGCCTTCATGACAGTGAATGCTGTAGTAAGCGCAGTATGGTCTTTGCTCAGGGTTAAAAAGCTCGGTTTGAATCATCACATCAACTTTCAGGTGAAGAAATTCAGACATCATTGCAAAGACCAGGTTTTTCAAATTAAATTAGCATACCTCAATTGGATCCACATCATGGGCAATCACAACAAGCTGGAGCCTTCTTGCTCTCAACCAGAGAAGTGACTGTGTTCACACCTGTTAAAGAACATTTGTTAACAAATACTAATTTAAGAGTAACAATTATTATTTTAGGACCTTTTGCTCAGGGTTAAAAAGCTCATAAAGCATCACTGTATGTCAGGTGAAGAAATTCAAGTCATCAATGCACAAGGTCATGCTAAATAAAATACTTGTTCATTTTAGTCCCTGTTGAAAACACTTACCAGCACGGAGTATAGGGGGCCTTTTGGTGGGAGCATCACCCTTTCCAGCTGCCTTCTGCTCAGCCCGGGCCAGCAGCCTCTGCTTCTTCTCCTGCTTGGTTTCTGGTCTGTACTTGTGAGCAAGTTTAAACAACTGGGTGGCTGTTTGAAAACAGTGAATGCTAGTCTCTCCAAGTTTGGTGTTGTGTGAAAGAGTTACATTTACTTCAATTAATATTTACCAGTTTGGCGGTCCAGGGCCTGGGTGAACTGATTGATTGCAGGCGGAACCTTCAGACGCTTGTAAAGAATTGAGCGTTGCCTCTGCAGGCGAATGTATCGTGGCCATTTGACAAAACGGGTTAAATCACGCTTGGGCTGAATGTCCTGGCCTGTGAGGAAAAAAAATATAGCAATCAGTCGCAAATTATAGTAAATAAGTTGGTTTTAAAATTAGTTGTACAAGTGCATCAGCGATCTTGGTGGAAGAATGTCTACAGTGTAGTTAAGATAGCAAATATTCAGTTACATCATCTGCACAAGATATTAGGAAGCTCAGTAGTTAATTTACTAACCAATGCTGAAGTTCTTGGGCCTTTTCTCAAACAGGGGGTTCACGACTTTTTTAGCCTCATGTTTTTTGGCCACAGAAGGGGCAGGTGCCACCTTCTTCCCCTTAGCCTTCTTTCCCTTAGGCTGGAACAGAAAATAAACATTGCAATTAATTTCAGGTACACAGACTTCAAAAATATAGCTGAATGACATAGGCTATGTGAGGTTTCGATTAGAAGTCGAAATTGAGCCTTGCTGCTTAGCATAAACTCCAGTCTACAGTTAAAAACACAGCAGTGGGCTCAAACCATCATACATTGTTTAACCACACAAAAACAACACCATTGGATAAATGTAGCCTCTTGCCAAACCATAAAAAAGTCAAAAGAACAGTCTTATAATAGGTAAGTAGGAGCATATTGACCAAATTTAGCGTTAGCTTCGATTCACTCACGGAGGGTGCCACTGCCGGCTAAACGTAGCTCATTTTTAATTACAATTTTCTCAACAATTAACACAGTTAAGGGAAAAATACTATCACAACTAAGCAGCATAGACTTTATATTAGAAATTGTCGCGATTAATGCGTTTATATAAAGACTACAGATTGAGATGAATTCAGATTAAAGTCCCCTAAAAGAAATTTCTATGCACCCACCATGTCGTTTCAGGCAGAAAGGAAGGACAGTGCATTCTGGGTAGCCTAAATACCGCGAGACTTGCAACCTCCGCAGAATTGAGTTGCCCTGAACTGATCCGAAATCAGATGTTGTCGCGCTCACTCCCTTATATTCCACTATGGTGTCAAACAGTAAAACAGACACGGGATCGGTTTGGTCAATAAATATAGCTATTACATTAATGCATCAATAACTATTATATGTATAAAAATATATATTCTATCCAAGAGATTATTTGTAAAATCTAATGGCCTACATATTCCTAATGTAATAGCTATAAAATGATTTTTTATTTGTTTATATTTTTTTCTGCATAGCGTCACTTCCGTTATATTTTAAAATTTTCATTTATCAAACTACATTTTGTTTTCCCCTATACGTATTTCCCCTCTAGTGGCATTATATTTTAAAAATGGTTGTAAAGTTTTACTTCACGTGCTGTACAGCTGTAACTCTGCGTGCTGTTGGGTAGATCCATGGTGAGTGTATAACAGGCTTTAATAGACGCACGATGGGAGGGGGAGTTGTTTGGGAAGACGGGGGCAAATCGTTTGTCTCTGAATATCTGGTTTAGGCTCATACTTCTCCAACATGCGACATTTACAGCAAGAATGATGTGTCTTCATCATCCCTGTGACCCATCGGTTTACTGGTAAATCAAGTAATTAATTTGTTTTGTATGTTATGTCTCATGTGATGTAGCTATTTGATGGTCTTTGAACATTTGTAAGGTCTCAAGGGTCTTTATTTAGTCTGCAGTGCGATAACAATTACTGTAGTTGTGTTTTCCGTGAATAATAAACGTTGACAAATAAAAAGACAGCCTGTCACTATCGCAGACTGCACTAAAAGCCCTTCTTGCTAACGTTAGCCGTGTTAGCTTGTATTGTTTTGGTTATTACAGCACTGTTACGGGCTTGTTCAAAAAGTACACCTCCATCTGAATAAACGAGTAGACATGGCGGAACAAGACGTTTGCCCTCATCTGGACTGCATTGGAGACGTGACCAAGGATGACCTTCTTCAAAAATCTAAGGTTGTTGCATATTGATTAACACATAATCAGATGTTTGAAGATCATGCATTAACGAGCCACATGAGATTTTGTCAAGGATCTTATCATCAACCAACACTGACAAAAATACAAAAAAAAAAAAAATAAATTTACGTGAAACGTGCTAATAATGTTTTTACCTTTTTATTTCAGGGAACTTGCCAGTCATGTGGAGCAGGAGGCCCAAATCTGTGGGCCTGTCTACAGGTATGGCTGGTTTTCAATACTATTATATGTTAGGGCCCGACTTCGTAATTAGTTGCAAATATTAAATAGTAATTTTTCCCACTTCTTTACTCTGTAGAGTGACTGCTCTTATGTTGGATGTGGTGAATCCTATTCTGATCACAGCACTCTTCACGCTCAGGTAAATATTCACCTACTAAAAATAAGACTATTTCCCTCATTTATATATCAGTATTATTGTTGAATGTCCTTAGTAACACACACCTCAGTTTGATAAAGATTGTACAGTAGGCCTATGTCTTGTCTGAATTATTTTGACTCCAGGCAAAGAAACACAACCTCACGGTGAACCTGACAACATTCAGAATTTGGTGTTATGTGTGTGAACGGGAGGTATTTCTGGAGCAGAGACCTGCCTTGGTGCCAATGGTCCCACATCACTGTAAAACCTCTGAACAGGTAATAAAGTCTACTGTTGGATGGTTTTATTATTTACTACTTCTGCTATTACTACTTCTCTCCACAGTGATACTGTCTGTTTTTGTATGTTCTAGGATTCAGTACCTCAGCCAGCTGCACATCCACTGAAAGCTGTGCCAATTGCTGTGGCAGAAGAAGAAGGTTCAGAATCAGAGGAGGATGAGCTTAAACCCAGAGGTAAATGTAACCTGTGTGTTATAATTAGGGGTGTCAAATTATCGCGTTAATTGCGATTAATTAATTACAGTCATATTTAGCGCGTTATGTTTTTTAATCGCGTTAATCTCATTTTTAATCTAACTTTACTGTTTCTGTATGTGAGTTGCTTTATTATAAAATCTGTTTTGTCCCAACAACACATAAAAACACATTTATACATTTTTTTTTATTTCGGTAATTCCACTCATTGTCGGAAACCCACACAAAACGCGCGCAGTAAGAGCGCCGTAAACGTCATGTTAACGTTGGCGGCGTCAGTCACACAGTGGACGAGGTCGAAGAGCCAGTAGAACAGTCAGCAGTGCACAGGTAAAAACGCATTCGTGTCTTGGAAATTATTCTCCCGATGTGAAATATAAAAGAAAATAACAAATATAATATCGCCTACAACTTAAATGTCACTGGTGAAAACAACCTGCATAGGCTCATGATGTCTGCACTACTGTCCTATAGTGACCTGCCACATGAGGGGACACGCACACACGCACGCAAACACACACAAACACACACAAACACACACCTTCATCATCGTCATTAACCTGAGAATGCGCGGACCACGTTTCCTTCCGTAGACACTGCACAGACACCAACGTGCTCCCGTGAGCCGCGTGTGGATCGTGTTTTCTCGCGTACGCTGCGTAAACCGCGCTTCCTCCTGTGCGCCTCTAAACCAGAACTAACACCAAGACTAAAACCAGGACTAAACCAGGTCTAAATCAGGACTAAACCAGAACTAAAACCAGAACTTAAACCAGGTCTAAATCAGGACTAAACCAGAACTAAAACCAGAACTAAAATCTAAACCAGGACTAAACCAGGACTAAACCAGGATTAATCCATTCCAGGACTAAACTAGGACTAAAGCAGGTCTAAACCAGGACTAAAACAAGGACTAAAACCAGTGATCTCATATATAAAGCATTTCTCTATCAATAATATTTTTAATATGGTTAAGGAAAGACTGGACTTTTTATTGTCTTTAAGTAGACAAAAGTTATTATGTTCAGATTTCCTTGTCTTTGCTACTTTACAGCAAACAGTTTCTTATTCATGGAGACTTGGGCTCAACAGCCAATTTGGACAGATTTGTTAAACAATAAATGACTTTATCAAGTCACTTTTTTTTGTTCTATATCAGTCTTTTGATCTGCCACAATAATGTAATAATGAATTTAAATGAAAATACCTCAAATTGAAGGCTTTTCTCAGCAATTTTTAGGTGAGATTAAAATGAGATTAATTAGATTAATTAATTACAGATCATAATTAATTAATCTCTCAATTTTTTTAATCGCATTACAGCACTAGTTATAATATAACTCACCGCAATCAATAATGCTCATTTCTCAAGGTTGTGTATCAGAAGAAGTTTGAGAAAGACAACCTTATCTTATTTCAAAATCAGCTAAATATTTTAACAAGCTGGTGCCTCTTTACAGGTCTTACGGGAATGAAAAACATAGGAAACACTTGTTATATGAATGCAGCACTCCAGGCTCTGTCAAACTGGTAATCTTTTCTTCTAGTACATCACATTTTTTATTTGTTTTTTGTTTGTAATATATTTTTGTTGTTGTTTCTTATTTAGTCCACCCCTCACACAGTTTTTCTTAGACTGCAGTGGTTTAGTGCGTACTGACAAGAAGCCAGCTCTATGCAAGAGCTACCAAAAACTAATCTCAGAACTTTGGCATAAAAAACGGTAAGGAATTGTTTTAACGCAATGGTTAGATGCTACAAAGAGTAAATATACATTGTTCCTTCTATACACATTTTTTTCCAGACCCAGTTATGTCGTCCCTACAAGTCTCTCTCATGGAATCAAATTAGTTAATCCGATGTTTCGTGGCTATGCTCAGCAGGTATGTTCAAGCGCATTATTGAGCATGCCTCTACATCATTAGTCTTTGTCGGGGAAGGCGCCTCTCCAGTTTGACACCATATGTTCTGTAGGATACTCAAGAGTTTCTACGCTGCCTGATGGACCAGCTGCACGAGGAACTGAAGGAACCACTAACAGAGTGCACTCTGAGTGGAGATGGTTTCGATGTTGATGACAGACGAGATGGTGACCGCTCCCCATCGGAGGATGAGTTCCTATCATGTGACTCTGGCTCGAGCAGTGACCGGGGTGAGGCTGGAGCCACTGGTGATGGAGAACTGCTTTTACACGATGAGTGTGATGGCGTAAGATCACCTATGAGGCCAAATGAATCCAGTCCATCTGGTGTAATCTCTGAGAAGGAGAGGTTAAAAGAAAGAAGAGTGTCAGGGTCGCCACTTCGTGGAGGCTCCCAGGAAATGGATGAAGATGCAGATGTTGATACTGCAGCTGAAGAGGACACTTCTGAAAGATTGGAGACTGAAGAGGTGCTCACAACCCCAAGCACAGAGGTCCAAACTCTAGAAAACAATCAAATATCAAATACTGCACAGGGGCAAAGCCAGAGTAGCAACACCTCTGGTATATAATATTTTTTGAACAGGAACAGTATCTAAAATATTATCTGTCGCATATTATGTATCATGTATCTTCTTGTGTTTCAGAGCCAGACAATGAAGCCAGAATAACGCAACCACAGTCCATCCCGTGCACCCCTGTGCGCACACTTCAGGAGCTGCACCCTAAACTGTCATGTAGCCCCCCTCGATCTAGCCCCCTTCGTGCTACAGGACCATCCTATTCATTCAAAAAGGGTACTGAAACTATTGTTTGTTTGTTATTTTGGCTTGAGTCTGACTTCAGTTCCTTAATACTGTTGCTAACTGAGTTGCATCCATAACATCATGGTGTGTTTTTCAGCCCCACTGCTGCTTAGTTCCAAGAAAAAGAAACAGTCCCACTATCGTAGTGTGATCTCTGACATTTTTGATGGCTCCATCCTAAGTCTGGTCCAGTGTCTAACCTGTGACAGGGTAAGTCCTTGTAAGGAAAACTTTAGTACCCAGCATTATGAACATGTAACATTTCGATTCAAATCTATGCCCAGTCATACTATTGCATACATTTGCACTGTGCATGTCACACAGATGATGACACAGATGAATATTGTTTATCAGCTCTCTTCGACGGTGGAAACTTTCCAGGACCTCTCTCTTCCAATTCCTGGCAAAGAGGACTTGGCCAAGCTCCACTCTTCTATTCACCAGAATCTGCCAGTGAAAACTGGTGTGTGTCCTGAAACATATGGGTCACAAGGCTGGATAACCTATATAATGGACTCCATACGCAGGTTAGTTGTTGTGTTATGTAAAACTTTAGCATGTATAGCTGTATGTGCAGTCTGGTAATAGTCTGTGTGTCCTTTTCAATAAATAGATTTGTAGTGTCATGCATTCCTAGTTGGTTTTGGGGGCCTATGGTAACTCTTGAGGATTGCCTTGCTGCCTTTTTTGCTGCAGATGAGCTAAAAGGTAAACACATTTAATTTATTACACAATTATAGTTTCTTGCATAAATAAATAAATTTTTTGTTTCTTCAGGAGACAACATGTACAGCTGTGAAAGATGTAAAAAGTAGGAATTGACCGAATGTATTAACGCATCTTACAATATAATATTATATATTGAAAGACATTTTATTTGTCTGCAGGTTGCGAAATGGTGTTAAGTACTGCAAAGTGCTCAAGCTTCCAGAGGTATATAGTCTTCATTATTTCTTAAACACAAGTGCACTGATTTATAAATAACAAATACTGAAAGTTTTTTGCTGTATTTTTAAAGATTTTATGTATTCATCTGAAACGCTTCCGTCACGAAGTCATGTATTCGTTTAAGATCAGCAATCATGTATCATTTCCACTAGAAGGGCTCGACATGCGACCATTTTTGGCCAAAGACAGTCCGTCTCAAGTCAGCACTTATGATCTGCTTTCAGTTATCTGTCACCACGGCACTGCCGGAAGTATGAACAATCTTATTTTCTTTAAATACAAAGTATTTGGAGAACATAATTTCAACATCTTGTATTCCTTTGGTTGTTACAGGTGGACATTACATAGCCTACTGTCAGAATGTGATCAATGGCCAGTGGTACGAATTTGATGATCAATATGTCACTGAGGTCCATGAGACTGTGGTGCAAAACGCAGAGGCCTATGTGTTGTTTTATAGGTAAATGCACATAAACAGCCATAGACAGCATGTTGTTTGTACAAGATAATTAATCATTACTCTTTAATGTTAATTCTTTTTGCAGGAAAAGTAGTGAGGAGTCAGTTAGAGAACGTCAGAAGGTGGTGGCTCTGGCCAATATGAAGGAGCCAAGTCTGCTGCAGTTCTACATTTCTAGAGAGTGGCTCAACAAGTTCAACACTTTTGCTGAACCTGGTCCAATCAGCAACCACACTTTCCTTTGCCATCATGGAGGTATATACACTGTTTAATCCACAAATATACATTCTCAAAAATATGTGGAGTTTCGGTAAATATTTAAATGTTATGAATCATTTATCTGTTGAGTTTAGAAACTTTCAGGTTGCCGTCATAACTTTGGACATGAAAACAACATTTATTCATCATTACAGGAATTCCTCCCCATAAATACAACTATATTGATGACTTGGTGGTTATAGTCCCGCAGAATGTCTGGGAATATCTGTATAACAGGTATTCATGCATAAATAGTTACACATGGCATAAGCATTTTGGTCAAATGAATCCCACTGAAGCCAGTTTGATGTTCTTATATTCTTGATGGCGTATTTGTTAAATATATTCTGTCCCATTATTTTTATAATCTTTTTTTTATAGTTTTGGTGGAGGGCCTGCTGTGAATCACTTGTATATGTGTGCCATTTGCCAAGTGGAGATAGAGGCCCTAGCTAAGCGCAGGAAAACTGAAATAGACACTTTCATTAAGGTAAAGATATTTAAGGTATTTTAGAAAATAGTATATATACCAGATACCAGATGTGTTGTCCAGTGATAGATGGGCCCGTGCCAGTCACTGACTAAAATGATAAAGTAAATTAAATTTATAAAGCAGCTGCGTCCAGTATAAACATGTTTTGAGTTTTTACTCTTATCCAGTGCACTGAGGAGAGCTTGAATCTGCTGTGCTTTTAGTGTGATAGACCAGAGTTTGATATTGTGATTGCATACACTTGCTTTGCCCTCGGTCTGACTAAGCATTTTTCTTGTATGCAGCTGAACAAAGAGTTTCAAGCTGAGGAGGCTCCGACTGTGATCTTGTGCATCAGTATGCAGTGGTTCAGAGAGTGGGAGAGCTTTGTGAAAGGCAAAGACAATGGTATGTCTAAACATTCAGTACATATACTACTGCACAGACTTTTTCTCAGTTTATCAATTTAGGTGTGCATCTACACCACTTCTTATTAGGATAATAATAATAATCCATCAGTTTTATATAGCACTTTTCTGGACAGTCAGTTATTCATTCACTCCACACTCGGTGGTGGGACGCTATATTAACTAGTAGCCAGAGCTGCCCTGGAACAGACTGACAGAAACAAGGCTGCCAATCTGTGCCATCAGCACCTCCGACCACCACCATCACTCACGCACACACCACTTTCATACTAGGCAGTGTGGTTGAAGTGCCTGAGGACACAATGACAGTTTTTGCAACTGGCACCCCCCTATGGCACCTGACTTTCCCAGTGGTCTCCCATCCAAATACTAACCAGGCCCAGCCTTGCTGAGCTTCTGAGATCTGACGAGATCAGGCTTTGACAAGCCGGTATGGTATGGTTTATGTGTATTACCTAGTATGCCATGATTCACATTAAACTTTCTACTATTTGAAAATCAAAATTAGAAGTGTTTTTAATGCATTGATCCTTCTACATTTGCGCTGTTGCACTATTGTGAATGTATGTGTTTAACAAAAAACAAAAAACTGTTATATGCTTAGAGCCACCAGGTCCCATTGACAACAGTAAAATTGGCATCATGAAGGGAGGACACATACAGCTCAAACAAGGTATCCTCTGAAGTTCAGATGGTCTGATAAATAACATTTTAAAACACATTCTCACCATTTTCTTCTCTCAGGGGCAGATTATGGTCAGATATCAGAGGAAACATGGCAGTATTTGTTGGGCATTTATGGAGGAGGTCCTGAGATTGCTGTCAGACAGACAGTGGCCCCAACAACTGATGTAGAGAGCTTGCACGGAGAGAGGAAGATAGAAGCAGAGACAAGAGCCCTCTAAGATAGAGAGGTGAGCTTTTTGTTCATGACTTGCATAACAATATTAAAGTCACTCAACCGTTTTCCAAGTAATGGCTTTATACGGAAAGATTTTCTGTTTAAATTATGTCATAAATGATTTCTTCCCTGATCTTAGGTTGCCTGGCTTCCATTCCTCCCCTGTCCTGACAAGAAGCTGAGGAATTTGCACCTTCCTGAAGCGGCTGTGTTGTGAGCACTTTGTAAATGTAGCAACACATAATAGAAAATGATTTAATATGAATTAGATTATTTATTCAACAGCACAGATTCACACTGTTGTCACTTACTAAAGTTGTTTAGCAGCACATGAGGCTGTGAAAGACATTGTTACATAGATAGGATCTCTGGAATAATACTGAATTTAACACAGTTGGGCACCTCAAAACAAAAGTGCAAATGACAGGTTAGAGTATTATATTTAAGATTTTACTCTAGTCTATTGTTTCTGTTTAATCATTTTACTTCCTGGTCTGACACGGGCAGACCAACATACATCGGTTGAAGTAATTCCATAACTGTTACATAGCATTCATGATAAAATAAAGGGACAAAATTAAAATGCATAATAGGTATGATTAGCCAAATAAAAAAATAAGGCCTTCATTTTATTAAACTGCTAAAAAAATTTGTTTCTTGTGCGTACATCGGTCGTGTATTTTGGAAGGAATTTTGTTGACATAAGTAGAGGTATTTCGTTTTATAACTCGCCTGTAATTTTGTACTTTTCTTCTTAACTTTTGTTCACAAACTGCCATTAAACTGATGTTAAACTAAGTAATAATTAGAAAAGCATGTCTTATGCACTTTAAAGCGTTTCCAGACCCTCAGGAATGCTTTAGTCAAAAATGGTTAGCTTAAGAAATAATTATGTTCTTTTGAAAACACATTTGTTTTCACACTAGGTTAAATATGCATGCTACTCCCTCACTGAGAAGAAAGCATTTTATTAGGGTGCTGTTTGCTGAAATTCTTGCTCTGTGGGTACATAACCTAAGACAATTACGCCTTGAGACATATTGTGTATACTGTATGTTTACAAACCCATCTGGGGAAGGGGGATAAGGCATATGCATCTGGTGCTATATTGGTTTAATGCTTGTGGGAGAAGAAGTATCAATGTGACTGACATTTAAGAATAGATGGACTTTAATGATTATGTCTGTTTTCAATTGCTATTGATTATACCCAAAATATATTAATCTGAAATATTTTTTTTGGTATTTTACCAAAACAGAAGACAAAACATTTTATTTTATAAATTCAGATCTGCACACAGACAGTTGGCATCTCTGATGCAATTATGGCTCCCAGTCCATCTACCAGTTCTTTAAAATGCAACATTTGTAAATATGTCACATCTAAGCCACAGCATTTTATTGCTTATCTTGGCACGCAATTAAAACATGCTACATTTAAGTAGATTTATACACAGTGCCTTCACTGTATTGCTTCAATAGCCTCGTCACTCACCTTTTTGTTTGTGTGGTTTGAGTTGTTTTCAAATGTATTCATTTGTTTAAATTAAATTATGTAGTTATAATTTAAACTTCAATCAATTCCAAAGCACCGAACAGTATTTTGTAAATCAGTGAAAAAATCATTGTACCTGTGGATCTTCATCATTGCCTTTTATTGTAATTATGTCACATCTTAATGGGAGAATGACAAAAGAATGAAAACTTAAATATTCTCTTGTGTTCAGAAAAATTACCCAGACTGATTGTTGTTTGTGTGACTGTGACCAAAATATTGTTTTACCACTTCTCATAATGATCAATGGAATTATCTTGCTCTGACATATGTGGATATACAGAATACTAATATCCATACTGTGGTGGTGATTGTTTTAAGTTGCTTTTGTGGGGGTAAGTGCAATAAAAAGAGAAACTCATTATGTGTAAGAAATTGTGCAATGCAGCAGTGTAACACTGTATAGTGGTAATGTTGCAACACTTTCAGCTACAGTCTGTGTTTGCTTGTGTTACAGTGAGTACTGTAGCTGTGTGTGAGGTTTTCATTTCACAGATGGGTCCGACATTTTCATTCAGGGTGCTTCTTGTCTTGTAAAGTAATAGATGTTTGGATTACACAAGTTTTAAGCAGATTAAAGTCTGTATAACTGTAATTAGTCATGGCATATTGATGAATAAAATTGCCTTGTATGAAATTAATTGTTCATTTACCTTCTTGTTTCTTTAATGGACCTTACCTGTTTGCCACTGTTAATGAAAGGTCATCACATTCACAATTTTGCACTTGGACAACTAGAAACACTATACACCCTGCTATAATGTTTTATTGTGTCCTAACCCGCACAGCTTCTCTTTTAGCAAGGGCAATCTATTTCTAAATCAATCTCACTAACATTGTACCTGAAATTGTAAAATTATCTTGTCTTCTTGGATGTGCAGTTGTGATGTCATCTGAAGCTCCTTAAGTATGATGAACTGTCTCCATCCCAGACAGAGGCAGACTGAGGGGGAAGCTACAAACCTCCACAGCAGAGGAACAGAAAGACTGCATCGATATTTTTTTCAGGTACGAGAGCTCTTAGTACATTTTACTGCAGCAGCCGTTTGAAAGCCGTTTGTAGATTATCATGTGAGTGTGAATGTACACAAGTAGCACAGCCTCAATGACAGTCTGGCCTACCCCAAACGTTCCGGTGCATGCAGTTGAAGGTATGGGTTACTTCTGTTGCTTTGATGCATAATCTTTTGCTTTGGTGTGAAGCTTAGTTATTAGCACTGCGTCTGTTAGACAGGTGTGGGATCAAATTATTCAAATTAAGACGGTAAATGATATTCTTATATTATGGATTATATGATGTTGCAACACCACAACAAAGATGTCTAGTTACTCGGTATGTGTTGTATACATATATACATGTCATGTCATGTATACAAACACTGACAGCCCTCATAATTAATGCATCATTTTTTGGCATGACCAGTTAGACTTTCTCCTTTTCTTTTTTTAGGTCTTCAAAGTCGACGACTGGTGTGTGTCAAGCACTGCGCACTAAATCTACTCCCACGCATTTGGACAATAGTGGTACAGTTTAGGTTAAATATTTACAAGTAGTGTCTGGCAACAGCAGCAACACATTGGGAGAGACATCTCCAGTTGTTAACCTTCCATGTAGGAGATAAGAGATTAATCTCTATTTTACAGAAATATTTAATGATTTTCTTTTAAGCAGAGCTAGGGAGTACTCACAATACTTGAGTGACTTTTTCATACAATTTTATTTCTCAGGGTAGTTTTCAAACTTCTATACCTTTACTTGAAGGTATAAGTAGTATAAATTGTGCTTGTCGCACATAGACCATATATATGGTCCGTGTTACCCCACACCTTCAGGTAATGATACAGTTTTTCTAATATTTGGGGTCTATCTTAGTATAACATTATTTTATGTTTTGCCATAACAATTACATAAACTTCAAATTATGACGTACGTGCAGTCAGCTAGTCTCACAATTATTCTTTCTTGAGTTGTAGTTTTCGCAAATATGTTTTTCTCTTGCTTGAATAGTGTCTTGGACCACTACTTCGTACTTCTATTTGTGTAATATTATTTTGAAGTAATGCTACTTTACTTAAGTACAATTTTTTTTACAACTTTGGAATATTCTCGTAAGAAAGTTGTAATTTGAGTAGGATGTCAATTTTGGAGCATACATAATGCTGTGAGTAATCTATTCTTCTGTCAATTACATATTACAATTACAATTTTATTTTAAATGTATTAAATACATAATTATACACATTTATTTGAAAGCAAATTACACTATTGCTTTCTTTTTCCAACATCCTGGTACTAGTGGGTGAAAATCAGGTGGCGACATTGCTCTTATGTTTACAGTCCAATTTTGCATGTTTGTATTCACATATAACTAGTCATTTAATAGTTAAGTTATGGCTTGTCACTTACCATAAATTATCCAACAACCACTGGTGGGAAATCCTCTCGGTGATGGGTTGTGCTCTGTGCTGCCAACTGGTGGACGTGTGGACATTTAGACGCGGCAGAATGTCAAGCACAGGTCTGGAGCTGGATTCGTTTATCCAAGGAAATTACCACAGAGTGACCGGTCTGCATTACACCTCATCTTTCTCTGATGCAGAGGACTGCTGTGATGATGGCAGCTCAGATGGCTCTCCCACTGTACTGTTATGAAAGTTAATAAAAGTAGGATAATACAGTAAACTTACAGAGGGTCTGTCTCTACATTTTTGGAACTTGGCCCAGCAGAGGGAATTCTGTAATACATCAAATAAGAGAAACACAAATATCAGTTTGGATCATTTCAGGCCACAGTGTTTAATCCAAGTGCAGTATTTACCTCCAGAGGGTCTTTATCATGCTGTTATGTCCATCTTCTTATTAACCATAGTATATTCTGAAACAGAGATGAAAAACATTATTTAACTCATAGGAAATACTTTAGCCCAGTAAAACTGAACTCTTTTGTTTTAGTATAAGCCTGAGTATGAACATGAGACGTGTTTCACTGCTGTTAATACACAATACTCTACTACATTTACTTTTACCACAACATTTAAAATATAATAATCAATTTATGATGGTGTTCATAGTCAATATCGGTGTAATATAGATGTGACACATTAGTGTTCATGTCAACATCTCTCACTGAAAGTCTGAAGCACCGTCTCAAGTCCCATAACAGAAAGTTAGAGACAAAGTCAGATCTGGCTCTAAACTAAATCCTCACTGTCACAGAAATCATTAAAAGTACTTACTTCTGATCAGCGTGCCGGGCTCCTGATGGGGACACTCAGCAGAAGGACAGGGGCTCCTGATGTCATCTGGGGAAAAACAACATAAGTTTTGGTTGGTTAGCTAACGTTAGCTGTTGTTAAAAGTTGTGCTTTTTATTACGTTACGTTATTGTATTATGGCACGTTGCCTTAAATTATTGTATTAAGGCACTGACATGACTGCACTTTAGTCTCAACTCAACAGTCAACACTCTAGTCTACACAAATAATAATTATCTCTGGTTAAAAACACAACCAGATCAGACACCGGTGTCACCGTCGCTCCACAGCCGAAGGGAGAGCGCCGAGAGCGGCATCCAGCCAGAACCGAGCCCGTTAGACACGACCAATGATCCCGGAGCAGAATTACAATTCTGTGATCGTAAAAATATACAAGAATATAAGTAGCGTTATATAAAAATAGTATTTAGACTGGGATCTAACTCAAGAGATGGAGTTATCCTGACTCCTGACCTCACATCGTCTTCATCACGTTAGCTGCTACTGTCGCTAACTTTCCTACTGCACTCGTCAAAACTGATAAAACACACACAGTCACAGATGTACACACACCACAATATAACGTTAACGTTATGTACATTAATGATGACTAATACTATTAACTTTTAAACTATTACTTACAGTTAAATCCGCGGACAACAGGTGGATGCTGCTTCTTTCCAGGTGGAAAGCCGGTTTAGCCGCGGATCCGCGCATTGATAGTACAAATCATTGTGTCAAAAACAGTGTTGTGTTAAAAGTACGTTCACAGTGCGGATCTAAGATGATTTAACCGCAGATTCTCTCTGTAACAGCAGGCCATCCAAGGGTTAGGGTTAGCAACAGTCAGAAAGCGAATACGGAACAAATACGCAGCGGATCCGCAAAGCGGACGGACTGTGGGGCGGATTTGGCGGACCGAAAGCGGATCCGCTGCGGATCCTGATGCTAGTAGGAAAAATAAACTATCTCGTAATTACGAGATTTTTTTTTTCACTGACTACAATGCTCTTTCGTAATTATGTATATATGCTGGATTTCCCATTGTATCAAAATTATCCACAACCTGCTTGACTAATGTCAGATGTTCTTGAGAATTTGGCAATAAAGGATATGTTGAGCAATAACTTCATTTGCACAGGAAACCTTCCTTGTTTTGAAACCCATATTGTGCGAGTACGAAAGAGCATTGTAGTCAGTGAAAAAAAAAAATCTGGAGGGGAGGGGGGATTATCTCGTAATTACGAGATAGTATCTCGTAATTACGAGATAATCCCCCCTCCCCTCCCCCCTCCAGATTTTTTTTTTTTTTCACTGACCTGTTTTGCGCTGAATTGTCTGTGAATCACTTTGGTCAGCTGAAGTTGTATTAAATATGATACATAAATGAACTTGAATTGAACGGAACTGAATTGATATTAAGCAAAAAAAAAAAAAAAAAAAGAGGGAGAGTAAAAGATGTATAACTCTATACCCTATCGGAAGATAAATATAATATCTACCATAACCTTATAATGAATGTGCTTTTAAATGAGAGCAAACGTTAGCTAGTGTTTTCACCTCTCTCTCTCTCTCTCTCTCTCTCTCTCTCTCTCTCTCTCTCTCTCTCTCTCTCTCTCTCTCTCTCTCTCTCTCTCTATATATATATATATATATATATATATATATATAATATATATATATATATATATATATATATGTGTGTGTGTGTGTGTGTGTGTGTGTGTATATATATATATATATTAGAAAGCAGTCCAGATTACTCACCGTTTCCTCTCTGTGGACAAATTGGAAAGTTGGAAAATCGTCATTTATAAATCAAACCCCTTTCACATAGAGTGGGCGGAGGCTTTGGACTACAAAACCTTCTCCTCGGGCGCCCTCTTCTCAGCGTTCCGCACGCGTCACTCCAAAAGCATCTTTGTACATTACGCACGAACTTTGAGTAGGAATGGAGACGCTCTTAAACAACGAAGTTTTCTCCTCTTTTGTTTTTTACGCGGTTCTGCTCGTGCTAAAAATGTACATTATTTCGATCATAGTGGGACAACTTAGGCTGCGCAAAAAGGTGAACACATTCTGCTGTACAAAGCTCCTTGTAAAAAAGTGCATAATTTGTGAATACGTAGGCGACTAAACTTTGGCTCTTCTACAGGCTTTTGCTAACCCTGAAGACGCACTCAGACATGGGGGTGTACAGTTTGTCAGGCAGGACCCAGACGTGGAGAGGGCTCGGAGGTGAGTGATTGGACATCTCTCTGTCACGGTGTCATAAGCTATACAGTACAAAACGCTTCGATCACAGTAATTGATTGATTTTAAAGCACTCAGCGGTTGGTTTTATTTTGTTAAAATTCACTTCAGTGATCAGTCTCACACCTTAAACGCACGAGATTGTTGTGTCAGAACTTGCCAAATAGGCTATAGGCTAGTTATGCGTGACAAGAGTGTAGAGCACTTTTGCAGTATCTGGTACTGGTCAATTGTATTATTATGTCGTACTAATCTGTTTAAGTAGTAGTAATTTAAATTAGATTATGATATATGATGGTTTATAGTTTATAACCCTGTAGAACTGTATTTAACCTTTATTCTTTCTCAGGGCCCATTTGAATGACATGGAGAACATCCTCCCGTTTCTCTTCATTGGGGCAGTGTATTCTCTAACTGGACCTTCATTGTTTGTGGCCCGTATTCACTTCCTGGTCTTCTTCTTGGCCCGTTTGGTACACAGTGTAGCCTACCTCTTCGCCCTGAAGGCCCCAACCCGCTCTGTCTCTTACAGCATTGGACAGATCTCTTGTATTTTAATGGCCGTACAGGTCTTGATGGTGGTGGCCTCTTATGCTTGAATCAGACATTTATTATTATTATTTTTTTTTTTCAAAAAAATTAGCAAACCGGTGTTAAGTGCAATATAAAGCAGAATAACACCTCAGCATGGTTCTAAACTTGACTTCAGATCTGATCTGACAAATTTGAAGTCACATATGGAATTTACATTAAAATATGTTTTTTGCACTTTTGCCATGGTTCTCGATTTTAACAAAGTTCATTGAATTATTTATCACCGCATTATGAAGGCTTGTTACAGACATTTTGTTTTATTGTCATAACACTTCTCAGCATTGACTTGTGTTTACAGCCAACAGACCACTATTCTTGACAACATTTTACAGGTTCAGTCCTAAATGGACTCATGATGAAGCTGATTGTCCTTAGTTGTTGTCTCATGAAAAATGTTGCTGCTGTTACGAATGTTTATACCATTATGTCAATAATGAACAGTGGTTATATTCTGCAGATCTAACAATGTATTTGTGGTAATGCTTTTATATGATGAAATAATAATTTATTACAAATACATTTTTTTCCAAGAAGTATTGTTTTTTTGGTCTGGACATTGTTCCATGTGATTCAGACTGCCTGTGTTAGTGAGATGCTTGTGTTCGTGATGATCCAGAAGTCCAGGGCTCAGCTCCAGCATTCCTCCACATATTATGTAAGACCACAGGAGTTTTGTGTGTTCACAGCCCTATCCTGAGAGGCCCATCAATGGGGAATCATTGGAATACTGAGGAATGGTTCGTGGGCCAGCTGTCAACGACTTTACCTGTTCTGTTGTCATGCAGGTGTTTAATAAATAGGTGTTCATAATTATTCCAATCCCATTCCTACAACAAAGAATTTTCCAACGGTGAGGAGTTGCAGTCACTGTTTTTCTCTTTATTTAGGAAAATGAGTGGGAGTACCTGAAAAGACTACACCTAACCATTGAATGGACAGGCATAGCTAGTAAACACGATATGGGTGAACCCCAAAGCTATAATGACATACCAGGGACAATTGTGCGTGCATATTTTTAGAGTGAGTCAGTTGTATAGTTTAAACGTGCCTATAGCTGCAGGCCATAGGGACGGTCTGGCATCTTATACCACTTTCATTTTCAGTTGATTTCTTCATATATTTAGGCTACCATAATAGGGTATTGCCTTGGACATATCCTGAAGGATGACGCAGTTGCAAAAGAATTGAGAAATGTCTTTTTTTTTTTTTTTTTTTTTAAAACATACTTTACACTTTGATCCACAAGGGAAATTACTGTGTAACTGCCACCTCAACCCTTTCACTTATTGGTTCAACAAGATAACCCAAGGCTCAAGTGCGTGACACGTGAAGAGATCATCGTCAAACTAGTATGATACTAACTATTGAAAGCATAATAGTAAGTTTGAAAGTGGCCTTTCCCCAGAAAAATCTTTAAATGTTTAAAAGGAAATCCCGATTTCCGTGACTTGATTCTGTACATGTTAGGACAAGTGATCCAGACACACGCACACGCGCACACAGGTTTTCATTCAGTCATGACAGCTTTGATCATCAGTGTTAGTTGATTAAGAAACACAATATTTTGCCTATCACTAAAGAGATTATTAGGATCCTTGACATAAGATGACATTATGAATAAAACAGTCATGCTCTGTTCAAATTCCATAAATATTTATTACATATCAATAAACAGAACTGACTCTTTCACAGCAGTGGTCTACAGCACTTTTTAAAGTAATTGCTCAAATCATAATCATCATATTAATAATACTATAGATTCAATTTAATTTGAGGCCACATTTGATACATAAACATTTACAAGTAGAACTTGGCATTAAAAACGATGGCAATACAATATTTTAAGACACTTGGTGTTTTCTTTTTTTTTTTTTTTTTTTTTTTAGTAACTTTTCTTTCTTTTTAATATCACAGGATCAGCAACAATCCAAACAGCAAATATGGACTAGAATAGAAAATAAAAAGTCAAAGATAATTTGTAAAAAGGGGAGGTAGAAATAAGGATCATTTTACAAAAATACATAATGTATCGTATTACATATGAGTGAGTAGAAACAATGGTAGAGTAACTGAGGGTGTCGAAATGAATAAACCATTCTGTTGTTGTAGAGCCAGATCAAAGGTCCCCACACGGGGGCGCTCTCACACCAATTCTTCTGGTAGGCTTTCCTGGTAAATATAATGTCAATTTACTATGATGAATTGTTTGTGTATTGTAAAGCTGTTCAGAAGTCTGTCTAAGATGTTGCATGTTCACTCACTTACTGTTAAACAGTTAATTATTATTCACACTGAGCCAGTGACTCCCTGACTCCGTCATCAACCCCAAAGAGCTGATGATGACCCAACCAAACCTGACATGGTTCCAAGTGCGGCTTTATGATCAGTTGGCTATAAGCCTATACATACAGTGAATATTAGGAGGCTGAATTATTACATCTGAATGTACATTCTGTTGTCTCTTTGATCTTTTCATGGCATCAAATTCAGACTGTTTTTAAGGTTGTCAATACATGGTCAAAATTGCATTCTCCCTCAGTTTTAAAAACTATTTCAGATTAATCTCTGTCAAGTCACACTGTGGATTTTGTGTTATACTGTTCAATGTAGATCATTAATTTGTCACAGGGGAAGCACTATCACCTGTATAGATTCTGTTTTGTAAACATGTATTTGTAGAATCCTTCTGCATTCATTGTTGCTGACCAATTTATTGCACTTGTTTAAAGTGAAGCTGTTTAGTTTGCATATAGTTATTTAATCTGTGGGCCTCTTTAGTCAACTAATGTTGTCTACAGTCATGGCCGCTACAACCAGGTGAATGGGGGAAGACTGCCTCCACCTCTGTCTGCATGTATACTCTGCATGTAAAAATAAAGTCTGAATAGTGAACAAGAACAAATATGTGAATCATTTTCATATAATAAAATGTAATACTATATCTCTATATATGCATTACAAGTGTGACAAACATACCCATCATTGTGTTTGTACAAACATATTGATATAGAATATCTCAAATTATCACAAAATGTAAGCTGTTGCGGGCTATACTGAAAAAGTACTGTCATTGTGAGTTTAGTCATTTTGTGTGGTGACAAAGTATCTGGTTTAGATTTTAAACATTTTAACAAGGCAGCCGATGAGGTCTGATTAAACCACATAACTCTGCTTTTTTGCAAAGCAACATAGATACCCAACACACCTGAGGGGCTGACTCTAACACAACCAATTGCATTCATTTGGTCAGACAAAAAAAATGGGCCAAATACCACAACACAAATAAAAGACAAACAAAATTACAAATAAAAGTAAAGCGACAAATAAGCCATCGTGACAGTATAAGGGCAGGTGGACAGAGAAGTGCACACTGGGATTGTCTTCACTTTAGGTCCAGAACGTCCTCCTCAAAAGACGTGAGGCCAAATGCATTGGCCAAGGAGGGGCTGTCCTCCTGCAGCATTGCCTTCTCTGCCTCTGCATCAGAGCTAGAGGATAACTGCCTCTGTAAGTCCACTTGAAGTTCACCAGACTCTGAAGGTATCCTGAACAATAAGTGGTTTAAGGTTACACCTAAAAGTAGCACATAGTTATAATTTTATATACAGTGATTTTACTCACCTGTCACTATTTGTTGATGTCAGGGCTCTGGCTTTGGGTTCTTCCTCTGTGTTCTTTTTGCTCATTTTCCTCTGTTTGCTGTCAGATTTTCCACTTGGTTCTTCTGTTAAACCTTATCAGAAATCAAATGATAATTTATTTATTTGCCTTTTAATGAAAACAAATGTGATGTTGATTTAATCTTGATTACAAAACATTGGACATGATGGTCAAGTTCTTCATGTTATCTGGTGGTTTTGTTCTCAAGACATTTATCCAAGAAAGCAAAATAAGCCTCTCATGTGGGTTGCAAGTTCTGATCTGAATCATCACTACCTACCTAAATCTGCAGCCAATCATTTTTTAGTGATACAGTAGCCTCTGTAACTCAGTGAGTGAATTCTGGAGGTTCTGAGTTTTCACATGAGACATGGCCTATCCATATACTGAGAATGAACAAAACTTGTGTCCTTATGCATTTTAAGGCACTGGAAAACCAGGTTCAGTGATGATAGTTCCCTTTTTCCCAGTTCTCTTTTTAAACCAGTAAGCGTTCAGGCTACATACTCTTCCTTTAATCTTTAGTCTAATGGTGCAGACTTACCTAGTAGCTCCTTTCGAGTGCGACTGGCTATCTCCTTGATCTCCATTCGGGACATGGACAGAGAATGTGTGGCTGAGATGAGAGGGGTGGACATGACCATAGAGGGAGCTGGTGCTGTCAGGACTTTGTTAACCAGAGGAGACTTCAGGGGTCTCTCAATGCTACGACCCACCAGGTTGGACAGAGGGATCTTAAAGATGTGTTTACATGCAGATTCACCTTAAAAAAAAACATTTACATGTCAAGAAATACAAGAGAAATAAATAGGAAGACTGAACATTGAAGGCAGCCAATGGTAAGCCAAAATTTTAACACAAATACCTTGGATACATCAAAACAAATTGATTTAAAACATCATACAGTCTTTTACAATAAAGATTCACTTTTACACACTGTTTTGAAAATTACAGGTGTTTACTATGGGATTCATTCCCAATACAAATGCCTTGAAATAAAACATGCAAAACATCAATACACATTTTATGAATGATTTGAAGTGTATTGCTTACAAAAACGTGAGCAACCTGCAAGCTGTAGTATCCAAAAGGAACAACAGGGTGCAGTGTTTAACCATATTGTGATGAATGAGATGTGATGTGAGTGTAGTGCTGTACAAAGAAGGTAGTTTTGATGTGAAATGTCAGCAGGTGAGAGGTGAGTAAAAAGCCACGAGGAATAAGAGGGTCAGTGCTGATGCTTGCAGCTAAATCTTCACTCACAGGCTGTGACAAAAGCACAGAGGCATGCAGTTATTTGGAATATACTTAAGCCACACAGATCAATATATTCCACATGTGTCTCTGAACCAGGGGAAGTGTCCCACTGCATGACAGAAGCAAGGCCAAATTGATCAGAGCACAACAATATAGCTGGCTGCAGGTGTTTTGGAACACCACATGTCTAAGCCAGCGTGGTGTCTGGAGCCACATCAGTGAGAGCATCTTGTCCACATTAGTGATTTGATTAGATCAGCTGAACCCTCCCCACAGAGCAGATACAGCAGGTGCACAGGCAGTTAGACAATGAGATTTTTGTCAGCGCTCCCTCCCATACTTCACCCTGTGCTATGTATACAGCTTCTCTTCACCAGACTGTTGCACCAGTGTTTGGACTACCACTTTGGATTGAAGAGAGGGCTGACAAAAGTCTCCATGGCGACAGTGCAATCTGTAAATCATGCTGCGGCAGACGTGTCTTCTTCCCTCTTTACCTCCTTGTCTCCCTTGTACCCAACCCTTGTTCCTCTGTCTGACAATCAAACATATACACTACCCTCAACTATCTTCAACCACACCTCATCTTTCCCTAAGTCATTTTGAAATCCTTCCAAGCAAATTTACATTATTTCCCCTACCTTTTTCTACTGATTCTGCATTAATTAGTTATGAAAAAAGGGCAGGGGGAGGGGGTTGGTGAAGACATAATGTTCACTTAACATTCAACCAACGTTCAAGTCAACATGCCGCCTCAGAGTTGATAAAGGCAATACACTGTGGGAGCACGTGCATGTTAGTTGCCCGAATTTGTGGACAAAATCATGAACTGAGCAATATTCACAGGCAAAATCCTGCAGTACCTTCAGCATCCTTAGACATGTACAGGGATAGCTTGGTACCATAAGGAATCCGTATAGAATCTGAACCAGGAATGAAAGAGAAGGTTACACAAAACTTGGAACACAACACATATAAGATAGACAAATAAGGGTTGGATAAAATGTACAAAGCAAAGAAAATGAGGCCTTTGAAGAAAATAATCAGGAGACACTGCGTCATTCTTGGCTAATTGCTGCAGTGACAGCCAAAACCTTTCTCTGTGTTAGTCTTAATCTGACCTGTAAATATCCACTCTCCCGGAAAACAGAGAATGGACTGTTTTGATGGAGCAGTAAAAGTCACACAAGCAGAGATTTTGATTAAAAACCCAATGCTTGTCCTTAAGTGATTCCTTTACATCTCATGATTATTTACATGTCAAATTATGAAGAACGGATGTGACCACCATTGATCTGTCTGGAACGATCACACCTAATGACAAAGGTGTACGTTGTTAAAATATTTTCAGCAGCTGCAAATGACAATTAGGGCATTTTTTGAATGAGATGTGTAAATGTGGAGGGGGTCTGTCACACTGGGGGAAGGGCAGTTAAATTAGACTAATATACAATGAAAGACACCGAGGAGAAGAGGACTAGGGAGGGGTAGAGGGGAGGGACATATTGATCCTTAATCATCTTTTAAAGCTTCCTCAAAGGACAGTTCTCATGTGTCTTGAATAGGACTAAAGCAGGATGCAAGCAGTGATTGGCCTGTGCCACCTGTTTCATGTCTAAGCGTACACAATAATTAGGCAAAAATAACATGATTCAAACAGCTGTTTAGCTTTTGGATTACACAGATGAATGAATACATCTTTTTGTGGCTCATTTAATCATTTAATAAATATTTTTCAAATTGGATGTATTTTATAGCTTTACCTGCGACCCATTCTAATTACACAGATGAAAACGCACAGCTGCGGAGTATTGGATATTTTAGATTTTCTGAGGACACAAAGTAGATCAAGTTGTTTATCTGGATTTGTTGACATTAAAGTTATGCTGTTCCTCTATGGTAATTGGAAAAAATCTATACTGTCTCACAAATGCAATTACTTACATTTTGACTGGATACCCAATTATTATTATTGATAAATCTCTTTTGTTCCGGTTTTTGTCACAGAACTGTTACCTATGGCGACATGGAGAGAGTCTTGTGGTGGTCCTGTCAGTATACTAGCCACTGCTTCAGCTCAACACTACACATTTGTTTGAAGTAAAAGCAGCATTTTGTTATGATGTGGTTGTAGTTCTTACCGTCTCCGAGTGGTGAAGGGAACGCAGGCATCTCGTAGCCAGTGGGCGTTTGTGGGGAACTTTGGGAACTGGTGTCCTTTGAACTGCTGTTGGATGTGGAGCTCACCGGAGCAGACGAGACAAAATAGATGTCAGACTGTGGGTGGAAAAAACAGATCGATATAGAGAGCTGATAAACGTATACAGTCCCCACGATTTAAAAATACACAGTAAACTAGGGCTACACAATATGTCGCAATCAAACCAAATTTGTAATTTGAAATAATGCAATTGTCAAATCACAATGACTGCAATTATTTAGGTAATAGAATGTCCTTTGAAAACAGTATAAAAATTCATAATAAGTATAACACCTATAGAATGCTCTACAATCTGTGGGAATCTTGTATTACTTTATATTTCATTCTTCTCTCAAATTATAATTCCCTTAAATTTGTTTAAAATTACTTCCGAATGAGTTGTATGAAATACAAATGTATATCAGAAGAAAGAATTACTGGGGTAAACAGATTGACTGGAACACACAATGGTCCTCATTTACTGATACTGCGGAGAGAAGGTGGCATATTTAAGTGTAAATTTGTTCATACACCATATTGAAAAACAAACACTAGTAGTTGTGTAAAAAGTATGAGGAATGCAGGTTCTACAGTTTGAACCATCCTGGACCTATTCACTGGGTCCTGGTCTCGTTATAAGTTTTCAGTAGATGTGTTGTAGTTTTATGCTGAAGTAATAGCCTCATGATCATAACTTGGCATAAGTTTTAAACTTAACTATAAAGCTTCAAATGTCCTATCTATGAATGGTAAACTAAAATTCCAAAACCACATTTTTGGATAAACTGACCTAGATTAAGGAGCAATAGGTTTCATGCTGTTAAAAGTTGTTTTCCTGTATGAAATTAGTGTATATTGTACGCCACCCCCGACCTGCCAGATCATTTGAGCGCCTCGTGTGGTCACATCAAAACTGATAAATTATGAAGAACTCACTTTTTCAATATTGTGTGTACAAAAAATAGATTTGTACCAACCCTTGATGCTGCAAGCTCAAGACCAGGCACTACCGCAGTGTACACCAGGTTTCCATTGACCACCAGCCGGATCTCAATGGAGTCCGTTGTAAAGGCCAAGATGTATGGAAATGCACATACTGCCACAATAAAAAATATACTTCAGAATTTTGTTATCACCAGGGCTAAACACAGAGTACTCTTGATAATCATATTAAGAGTGGCCAATGAGAAGGACAAAAAGTATAACTCAAATAAAATTCACTTAATACTTTCCGATTATTATTCCTCCTCTTAACCAATAATATAATTTGTCTGTATCATCAGCTTGTATAAAACTGCTCCTTGTCAGAGTAAAAGGAGAAGTCCTAGTGTGATTCTCTGTAGCTGCCATCACCTCATGAAGCATTTACAGGTTTTGGACCAATTGAGTTTCCTTTCATCACCTCTGCTCGCATAATAACCATCACAAATGTAAATACACACAAACAAACCAGTTGGATGCTTGAGGCTACTCATGGCGTTGCCATAGAGATGACTGCAGGGTGCGGTCCAATCATTGTTTCCATGGTTACCTACCAATTGCATTTGGCATCTGGTTCCAGCTGAAGTGGAAGTCAGAGGTGTTCGAGTGTATCATTGGGGTAGAGCCATTGAAAGGACACACTTTCTTGTAGTAACAAATATCTGAAAGAAAAAAAAAAAATTATTACTTTACTATTACTAACTGTTTTATATAGTATGCAACTATATACATAATTTAAATAACTAGATGCTTTAATACGAAATATTAGTAGTAAGTTATAGTAATATAAGTGACCTCTAGTTTTTGGAATCGAAAAATGTATAATAACTAAAAGTAAATAGGATAAATGCTTCTTTCTAACTTATTGGTCTGTGGGAACACTAGTTGTTCCAGTGTGATTTCTTACAGCAAAGCTCCTACCCAGAGAGGGAACACATTAAGGCTAAGCTGTTACTCAAGAGACAGAGGCATGAATCAATCAGATGAGAGTGGGGTTAAAAGGAACTCACAGTTGTAACACAACAGCAGACCTGCCTCTCCGTCTTCATACACATCAATGGCTGCAACAAAATTTACCTGTGGACAGAGGCAAAACCAGTGAAGAGCACAGCAGCATGAGAGAGCCAAAAAGAAAATATTAACTTTATTATTTGTATGAACTATTATTAGCTTTTATAAGAAATACTGTGAGGTCAAATGATGTAATAATTGATATAATAAAAATAAAGCAATTTGTTTTCTTTGTAGCTTGAAAGTGTTAAGTTAAAAAACAGTGATAATGAAAGTAGACTAAGATATCTCAACAGCTGTTCATTCTGCAGTTTGCTCATTCACATTCTTGTCTCTGCTGCAGCTGTAAATGATAAGCCAAGAAACCATCTAATCACTTGGTAAACACAGTGACCACTATAGGAAGACCCGGCACTGTGAACGTTGCATGAAAGCAAATAGAATAGGTTTGTGTGTGTGTGTCTGCACACACTCACCCTGTTGGCATCTACATGGTGGAGCCTGTAGGCATCTCCAGTGCTCTCATTGATCAGGTCAAATTGATGTTTGTAGGCCACACAGATCATATTGTCATTTTCCCCTGTTGGCCCATCCACCAGAGCCATCACCACAGGCGGGTCGCACAGACAGATTTCCTGAAAAGGCCAAATGAGGGTAAATTAGATAGCAAAGAGCAACATGTGTGATATCCTGAGGAGGAAAAAGGAGGGTATGCGGGGATAATGACATAATGTGAGTGAAATATAACGTTGTTTGTATTATAGTTGTGTACATCGTAGGGGTGTAGTTAATTTAATTTTCATCAGATTCATTCAAATGTTTGTGGTTTTGAAACATTTTTGTGTGTGTGTTAAATAGCAATGATTAAAAGTTATTTAGTTCAGAAAAGTATATTGGCTGACATTTTTCATTTTGTTTTATTTGATTTGTTTTATTTATTTTATTTGTTTTATTATACATGATTAAATCAAATAAAAAATTGTGATTCCCCAATATGAGGGAAAAAATGTATTGTCCTGTCACCCAACCCTAGCGCATCTATGGGCTAACTAACAACTAACTGGATGCACAAAATTAATAAATATTTAAGATACAATAATTATTCTAGTAGCATCACCACCACACACAAGTATAAAATAGTATATATAAACAGTAATAAATGTAATAGCATTCTACAAACCCAGTTTTTGAAATAATTTAGATTAACACATTTTACAAAAAAAATTGTACTTTTATATTACAGAAAAATAAGTTTTTATTCTCCCTCAAAAGTGTCCCACATTAGGTCATAAATGGCTTAATATTTCTTTGAAGAGAGGTGGCGTACCCTTATGTACTGAAACTCTTCCACTGGTGAGTCCACTCCAGGTGCCACTGCGCTAAGGCCCTCAAAGCGTGGCTGTTTGCGTGTGATGAGCAGCAGTTTGTTTCTGATGGCAGCGACTATCCTCAGCTCTGCACCATGGTGGGTGTTGATCGAGTACAGATGACAGCCTGGGATAAAAAGGGCACAGTGTCGTGGTTAGAGAGGGAACATAAAAGCATATGGGGACAAACTGTGCTGTACTCTGGCCTCTCTCCACTGTGAGGTATGCTTCAATTAAAGGTCACTTCACCAGTAAATGCTAAAGGCTATGTGTTGAAAACAAAACCTTAAAGTATTAAATTAACATACAGAAGCATCATTGTTAGCTGACTAGATATTTTAGTAATTGTTGATTATGGTAATATACCTATTTACATGGGGAAAAACAAAACCCTGATTGAGTGATAATTATTTTGTAAAATTCATATCTTAATACATCTATATTCTATTAGGACACCATATGAAAATATTAATGATATTTGCCTATAAGTGCCTCCATGCTTGTGTTGATGTACATACTTGTTGTGTTGTTGCCATACCTTTGGTTTTCTCCAGCTTGTTCTCCCGGCTGTCACACTTGCTCCTAATGAGCTGCTTCTCCTCCAGGCCTTTCTTTAATGCACTCAGTCTGAAAACATAGAGCCGCGCGTCCTTCCCTAGGAGACAAACAAAGCAGTCGTGTTTCGACGAGGTAGTCTTTATTGGGCATCTCCTCTGGTTCTTTTATTCCCTATTGCCTCCTCCCACCAACACACAATAGAATGACAATGTGTACTTCTTAAGGCGTGTGCTTTCTAAAGATGTATCAAAGCCCACACAGAGTCGTGACAAACGTTTGTACATCACACGGCCACCATCAAAGTCAAGTCAATATTACCTCATTATCTGAGGGCCAATTAATGGATTTCCTGCTTTGATGAAAATTAGAGACCCAGTACATGTCAGATAGTTGACGATTATTTTTTGGGATTAATTTTTTGGGATTAAGTGTATAAAATTTTATCACTCTCACCTTATACTGTTGCAGTAATAGTGATGTAGTAGTGATGTAATAATAACAATAAAGGCTTTCTATTCTATTCTATGTGCCAAAATAATGCAACACCACATTATACAAAAAGACATCACAAGCCTGCATGCTCTCATAAAAGCCAACATTGAGAAAAATATGTATTTTCTAATAGTGCGTGTGAGAAATGTAACATCCAATATAGTTTTCACCTGTAATTTATATTATCAGAATTAAAGGTGCACTACGTAACTTTTCAGGTGGACAAATACCTGCTACGTGGTGCTACAAGGCCAAGTTACAGGCCAAATATGTAGACAGGATATTTTTTGAGCCAAGCATATTTTTATATTTGAGCAAAGCAATAATATCTTCAAGGAGACATGATGGACCCCTCACCGTAAAACATACATACTGTAGTGCACCATTATACTCAACTTACTAACTATATTTCTGAACTCAATGTGCACAATACAACTTTAACTTAATTGTCATAAATTTACTTTTTAGAATAATGCACATGTGTTTACCTTTGTCTGCCCTCATGATGAGCAGGTCCTGAGGCTCGAGAACGTGCATCTGCTTTACCACCATTGTTTTGTCGAACACTTGTACGGGTGGCACAGCTGGTGGATCTGAGGACAAACGACCAAAACCATTATACAACTTTTCAAAAGCATCTCGTGTGAGGATCATTGAGCACCACTCACCAGAATTCGACAGAGTTGGATCAGTGCCTGTAACATAGACAGCATCATTAGCATCATCGTGCTGGCCACTGACCTTGGTATTTTGATGAGGCCATATTGAGTGGATGGTCACAAATGGGTGGGGGGAGATAGATTAGCTTGACCTCACCGTCCAATAGCATGACACCCGCTGTGTCTGTGGCAACAAGCAGAGATTGGCCCCAGGAGTCCGCACACACGATTTCATAGGGAAACGTGCTGCAGAATGGTTGAGATTCCCAAGGCTATACTCCAGATTAGATAAAATATTATATGCATTATTACATTTAACAGTACAGTTGACTTGGTGAAAAAAAATTCTAAGGACAGACACATTTAAAAGTTGACCACAGCACTTTGTAAAATAATAATGCTCATTACCTCTTTTCTGCAGATGCCCGTAGTTACAAGACTGGTGGGCGCATCACCCCTTACAATAGTCTTGAGTTTCAAAGCCTAAAGAGCACATATAGAATTAATTTTTTTGAGTGCACCTTATGTCCATCTTTTTACTCTCTATCACCATTAGCTTTTACATCTCATATTACAAAGAAACTTCACTTGAACATGTCTGGTTATAGTTTGTGAAGTGTATAAATCATCTGAATTTGAATTATTCCAAAACAGTTTTCATGTTGTGAGGGGCTCAGTATTAATTGTTTCACAAAACAAAAGCATACAGTCTTTTTGGCCACCTGCTTGTCTTCATGGAGATGTAATTGCTTTACCTGGAATGTTTTGCAGTATGGCATACTACATACTAATAATATCTCCATGGAGACAAGCAAGTGATGCCACCGGACCAAGTTACAGGCCTGAGGCCTCATTTATAAAGAACTGCGTAGGAGTTGTCCTAAGCTAGTGCATTCTCCTAGTGGCCACCAGAGGCGTGCACCACGAAACTCCAAATTTAGAAAACCCAACGCATGCACTGAACCATGCAATCTGTACTTTATAGATCGCACCTGCAGCTAGAATCTGTGCACCTAAACCCACGTCACGCCCTTTCCACACCTCCACCTCACCATAAAAGGGCCATGCACAGTGACTCGTGAATGAGATTTCCCTAAACATGAGCCGATAATCAGTGGGTTTGACCGAGACACGCGGGACAGAGAGGGAAGGGACGCTCCATGCAGCATCACATGGTCACGTCAAAGGCTTAAACAAGGTTTTACAAATATATACAAAACTAAAAGTGACAACAAAGACTCATCTGTTAATTTAATAATATTTCATAATATAGGCACCACATCTTTGCAATAAAGCCAAATTGTTTTCTTGCTGTGTTTCAAGAGTTTTATCGCTATATTTTTATGTCTGCCTGTGTGTGTGTGTGTTTGTGTGCGTGGACTGGCCCTGTTTATGAACATAGTGGTCTGAATGATCAAAGAAGGTGGCTATGAGCGTATGTGAGAGGTTCAGATGCCCTCCAGGGGAAAGGAGCTAAGGAGGGATATGTGGATCAGTGGCCAGAGGACAAGAACTTCGGCAGGTAGAACACAGATTTGGCATGTAATACATCAGACATACATACATATCATACATATCAAGTGCTGTTATTCTTCCAATGAAATCCACACGAAGCATCCAAATTCTGCTCACCTCTGTGAGTGTGCGGGCCTGTGTCGGGATGGCACAGGCATATTATTGTGTTCTTCATACTGTCAGAGAGCAAGCTGTCATTTGTAAGAGCTCCTCATTACACAAAAATGTAGGGAATATTTTGGGTTTGGGCTGAACCCGACCCGAACCTGAACTCTGCGTGGACTCGGGCCACTGTGGCGCTCAGTGAATAAAGGGAAAAGTAAAAGTGTTAAAAGTGTGTTTAGTCCCAGTGCTCCATTAAACCAAAGCCTTGCTCCTGCGCTCCATCCAAGGGAAAGTCCAGTTATTATTTCGTCCTCTGTGTTGGGTCACAGCCACAAACTGTGAGCTATAGAAGTCCATGGTCGCGAGGAAATCCTGCACTGCACTGGGAAAGTGTCTACGAGAGCGCACAGTTTCAAATGTATAATACTGTAGAGAATAATGAGTGGAATAAACAGCGGGGATTTTCTGATCATTTCCTGATCAAACACTTCCTCAAACTCTTTACTTCTGCTCCTCTTCACAAGTGTCGCTTTTTCCCCGTGTCTCCAGACTTTGCATAGAGGTTACAGCAGGGTCCAAGCTGCCATGGAGATAAGCAAAGTGCAGCACTTAGGAGGAGTTTCATAAATCCTGCGGTTGGCGTAAAGAGACTGACTATGCAAGGATTGTGCATAAATGAGGTTTATAAATAAGGCCCCAGATCTGTGAAGAGGTGAGTCCGCTCACAAAATGCATGATTTGCAAAAAAAAAAAAAAAAAGATCTTTTAGAATAAATGCATAATAGCATAATAATGCTAAAAGCCATACTGTGAAACATTCCAACTAAATCAAATAAAATAAAAAGTGTAAACAGTATAATGCATTAGTAAGAAATGTTTTAGAAATGATTTAGAAAAAAAAAAATTTAACCAGTGTTAAGTTAAGAGTTTACATTTAATTTTAAAAAGATTCAATAGAAATACATGCTACTCAAAGCAGCATAGTTTCTTTGGCACAGACTACTAAAATCAGGCGACTGTGAGTTGCTTTTTATTTATTAATGCAAGAGGTTTATGTCTTTTTATAGACATTCTGCTATGAACACTTTGTCCACTGTCCATTAGCCTCATGGTCTATTCATGTGTCTTTACCTGGCCTATCCTGACAAACTCTGCTTGTCGGGCTTCCTCTTTCTTGCGTGCAGACTTTGGGGATTCTGGGAGGACATCGCTGAAGGACCGTCGGTTTAGCATGTTCTGAGGAGAGAAGGGAACCTGTGCAAACATGCCAGGTACAGCACACACCAATACACACACACATGCGCGCAAGGGGAAAGTGCAGAAGCCTGTGTTAGAAGTATAGGTAAAGAGCAGAGGAAAAGTTGTGCAGCAGTGAAAAGAAAATTAGGATCTAGGGTGACAAAAGAATATGGCTTGCTTTAAAAGTCAGTATTGCAGCAGTATCCCATCAGAGTATTGCAATACGCAGATGAAAAAAAGTGAAATGCAGCAAAATGTTCACCAAAAAATATATATGTATATTTAAAAAGTTAAAAACGTAAGTACCACTTAAAAAGTAAGTAGTATAACAGTGAACATACTTTGTGCAAGTCAGGCATGAGGTCTTGATAAAGTGACCGGATTAACATATCAAGAGTCCGCTGACGCTTTTGGGAAAACGTTGGCGTCTCCAATGTGGCTTTCTCTCCATTGATTACTGAAAAAAATAAAAAATACACAAATACACACATAAGCACATTGTAGTCCAAATATAGTATGGACATTATAATGCAAATACCCGGACTAGGCTTTTCAATCATTAGAAACCATAATAATACGTGTACTTTTAAAATTATTTAATTTTAATTTTTTTCACCCTATTAATGAAACTACATTATGTATCAATGTATACTGCATGTTACAGATCTTACATTTGACTAGTAAAAAGTCCCTGAATTCATGGTGATCAGTAAATACAGGTGGAGACGGGAGAGGAGGTCCAAACAATGGGACACTCTCTTCTGAGAATATCTTCAACCTGTCGCAAGAAGCAAAGATACATGATGATTGTATGAAACTAAGACAAAAACTAGAAACCTAAGACAAAAAATTTATTATTAATAGGGAAAAGTGAACTCACCTGTAACTGTCATTCTGGCTATTATACCTAACTAAAGCAAAAATATCTAGAAGGAGAGTATAGGAAGCACAGATGTATTAACATTGTACACAGTGGAAATTCATTGTCTCTTAGATAAACTCTTGACATGGAGTAAGTAGGATACGAGTAAAATGTGACCGGATCATTGAAGGCTTGAAGGATGACGATGCATCATCCCCTTCCTGAAATACTATGGTAACAATGTCATTTCCAATGTGTCTCTTCCTCTCCACCTGGAAGACAGACAGGCAAAGATAAGGACAAAGCTTAAGGTGATTCACAGGTTTAATGATGGTGAACTGATGTGTGTAACCCCAATTAAAAAGAGGGTGCACTGTAAAATCAGTTTATTCTTCTGACCATGTGAGATTTATTTTACCTCATGAGATGAACAGCCCTTATTTTCCGGTTTTTATACAAAGCACGTTTCTTTAATTCTAGGACAGAATAGATTATATGCATTCTCAACTGTGACTGCAGTGTTTGAGTCTGGGTGACACACAGCAGGCTACCAGCCTCTTTCAAAGCACACTGTGTTCCTTATAATAGGGCCTTTTTTATCCCAAGAAGAAATCCAATTATGTGTCAGACGTGCAAAGTACAGGTCCAATACAACTGTTATTACAAAGTGGACCTACTCAAGTTACAGGATGGCTCTATATGTTTCTATTTAAGTGAATTTTGTCAATATGGGAAGAGATAGATGCCATTGACTGTGCCATTATGTGATAGCAAAGCATGACAAGATAAATTCTAATCCAATTTGTGGCGAACCAATCTAGTTACATAATTAAAGACAGAAGAGACAGAGATGACATGTACAAAAGACAGCCTTGTGAAGAGAAAAAAGGTACAAGATGAGGGTCAGGTATTCACAACACAAGATAATTAAAGAGATTTTTCTGGTAACACTTAAAAATAACACTATTTACAGCCTTAATAAAGCATGAAGTAAAGTGTTAATGGACACATTGTTAATGAAGAATGATTCAGACTTAACAACTACTTAATTAAGTCTATTAATTAAGTAGTTAATTCTGAATCATTCGTAATAAACTATTTGTTCATTATGAATTATGTGTTAGATTTTTTTTCCCTTAAATTATCTGTATCTATTGACCTGCCTGTTTTTAAATAGAAAAATAATTAAAATACCACCTGCTGTTTATTCTCTTTGGAGTAGGGCAACATGGTGGACACATGAAACATGAGCTCGTGGCCCTGATAGACCGTATAGATGGACTTAATCCCTGTAGTGTCATCTGCATAAAACATACAATGCTGTGTTAGGTTACATCTATTATGAGACTGTGAGGTTGTGTGTTTAACTTACTCTTTGTGTCAAGACCCCCGCGGTACCCTGCCCACCCCTGTAGCGTGATGATGTCCCCCAGAAGGTTAAGGAACTTGTCAAAACCCTCACTCCCTTTTTCTGCAAAAAAAAAAAAAAAAAAAAAAAAAACATTGCATATTTCAATACTGTCCGTGTTTTTAAATGAGAAATATGAAGGCATAAAAACAGATTGATTATCAACACATAGTGACTCACCATTACTAAACATCTCATCATCTGTGAGCTGTCCATCTTTGGCAAAAAGGACTCCAAATTTAAAGTTTACAGAGCCCTGAAATGTATAAAAATAACAAATTGCAGGGTTGTAGAATATCTTTACCACTAAAGATATTCTATTCCTTATAAGTTATTAATCTATTACAGCAAACACTACTACTAGAGGTGGGAGATATATCAAAAACAGATATTATTGTGGTTTTGTGGAAATGCAACATTAAAATATCTAAAATAAATATTAAAATAAAATATATTTGAAATTTATTAAAATCTTCCAAACAAGGGACAAAGTGATACATCATGTGCATGATACTTGCTCTTCAACCAGGACAAAGGCAAGTTTTATTTTATTTCTGATGGAGTGCCACAATATTGGCTCAGACTTTTTTTTTCAGTATCACCCACTCTTAACTACTACTACTATTGCTGCTATTACCCCAAAGCATGGTAACACAAGCAACCTCTAAGATTTTGTGATGTACGGGAGAAATACATGTAACATTGATGCCACAGTATACTCATTGCCTTACCTCTTGTTCCTCCAACACCAGCAGGTCCTGCAGGGGAAGAACACACACTAGTTATTATTTTCACTGAGGAGGCCTTGCATCTTGGGGCTAAACACAGTACAGTAGAGGTAATAAAGGCAAGAGCAAAAAAGGTTGGTGCCATGTTTCATTACTGGAGGAGGCTGCCGCTCTCACCTTCTGAATATCAGGGTTAAGAATCTCCCGAGGGCCTCTCTCAAACCTATCCATGTTCATTGCACTGAAAAAGAAAGAACAACAGTGAATAATCTGCACACAGGAGCTCTGGCAGGGGATTCTCCATTAATTTATTCAAAACTCATTGTTTTCCATAGTACAGTATATATACATGATTCAAGACTTTAACATTAAAATCACATTATATATCTCAAAAGGGTAAATTCTTACCTTAGGATAGACTTGACTGATAGTGTTTTGGTGGGGCTGTAAGGAAGGCTGATTTTCAAAGTGCCCTGAGTGAGACAGTGACACAGACTACAGTATATAAATTGAACAAAGAACACAGAGCACAGTAAACACTTTAAACAAAGAATGCCTAGAAGTATACCTATGCATATTAGAAGGTCCTATCTCTTGAATTTGTCAGTGCTAAAAAATAATCAAAAGGAATTTCTCTGAAATTGAACTGCAGAAACTTTGTTTAAAAGATGATAAATCATTGTGATCTGCAGCAGCAAAGGACCACTATAATTAGGTTCCAGGACCAAAATTAGATCCCGCCATGTCACTGTGATGCTGAGACCTACAATGTAATACATAGTTACAGTGCACACACTGTAAGCAGACACACAGAAATGTCTGCTTAACAGTAATAGTAGCTTCAGATGTGTGACATCGTAGTATGCTATATATGACACATAGCAGGTGGCACAGCAGCAGATGGCCTCACCGTTTTCCTCCAGAGGATGGCTCTGTACTGAGGAACCCGTTGGTTGTTTTGGTCTGAGAGGACCACGGACAAGAAGAAGGGATTCTTCTCTGCATCTGTGCCCACGTAGTTTTGATGAACTAAAGCACAAATAAAAACACACGTATTCGTCACCAATGTTATATATTCTCAGTGCAAGTTGTTTAAATCAACAAGATTGAACACCACAACAAAATTACACATTCATGTTTCTAGCTTTTGCTTTATGGGGGGATATGGTGCCATGTTAGACACCATGCCTAAGAGACCACAGACAAACTATATATTGCATTTGCTTCTTGTCCTCTTTTCAGAAAGACGTACCGCTAAATATTTCTTTTTTATCTCATGTTTACTAATAGATGATTTGCGGACAAAGACCTGAAGCATACTGTATGCATGCTCATATTTAATGAAAAGTCCTTATGGCTGTAAAGGTTTTGTCACCTGCTGTTCAGACAGGATGAGGTCATGTTAGAGTATTTTCCCTGAGTTCTGTATTGTGTCCAATATTACAGTGAGCCTGCCAGAGCTGTGAGACACAGATGGTTGTGCTGCAGTCTGAAGGAGCCAAGTTTCAGCACTGCCCATTTTCAACTGCCCTTAACAAACAGTCTTTAAAGTCAAGCAATGAAAACTTTGATTTGTTTTTGTTTAAGAACATTTATATAACATTTACATTTTCTTTAATGACACTGTCTTGAAATTTTAACTTGATTTTCCTAAAGTTAATGCAATGGTCAAAAAGTAAAGGATCAAACTAGTCTGATACAGAGGCAGACCACTACAGCATGAAACATCATGTGAGTTGAAGAATGGGAGTGCTTTAAACATAATCATTAGCCTGGTACTAACCTTTACCCAGGAAGTATTTAAAGAACCATCTGGTGTGGTACTCTGGATTCTCCAGATGGACATCAGTCCGTCTCCAGGTTCCTGGAGTGTGGTCCAAACTCTGCCATACACAGTATTTTGTGATCATACAGGTTAGGGACAAAATAGCAGTAAACAGCACAGTTTGGTTTATAATGACTATAACATTGTAACATTTTCTGTGTGTTTTTGTTTTTGTGTTAGCAGTTCATTTCAAAAAGGAGATTACAATTTTGTACATACACAGTTATTATTTAACTATTTTGTGCATTTATATATTGTATTTGTACCTCATCTGATGAGCCATTCTCCACCCTGAAGCGCCCTGCCCGCTGTATGGCCCCATCTGCATCACTGGAAATCAGCTGCGAGAGACAGACAGACACAGAGTGAGAAGGTTAAAATTAGTCTCTGTCTGGACATCACACTAAGCACATATCACAAATTTGTTTGATTTCGTTATCATGGGAACAAATGAGACCAGTGGTTGAAACACTGCCTGACCCTGTCCCCTCACACATGTTTCAGCACTTACTTAATCAGTAATAATCACTCATAGCTCTAACATTATTCTCCCTGCTGCCCTCTCTGCATAAAAAGGTATTTTTCTTGTTCTTGTCTGCCACCCTGTACTTATCAGGCCCATTATGTGGCTCTTGCTGACTCACCTCTCAGTAGTACAGCTCTGGTAAGGAGACATTACATGGGAACAGCGACTGTTAATAAATGGATGCAGAGTACAGAATGTATCATTTGCTTCATTTTACATACATTTCTAACACTGAACTGAAAAAAGTAAAATATTAAATTTTGCTATACTTTGGAGTGCTGTAGTTATCCACTGATCACTGTACATTGTATATGATTGTTTTCATATAGCCAGTGAATACCTAAATTATTTATCATGATGGATGGATATTTATGTATTTTTCCAGTTTGATCAAAGTAAGAAAACCTCCAATTATCTGTAGGGTTATTTCTAATCCATATTTTATTGACAACATGATAAATAACATGCATAAACTGTGTGTTGGTATATATAGTTAATGTGTCTCTACAGATTTTTTATAAGTAATTTATTCACTCTTGCCATTTTCTATAGGGGTCCTCTAACTATAAAAACTATACAGGCCTCTTTAATCTATTCCTGGTCCCCACACCCACCCAAACACTGCACTGTGTTGCTAGGCAACGGCGCTCCCATCCTCTCCATGCTGCTCTCCTCCTCTTTAGCCTCCTGCCTTCTGCCTTTGGCTCTGCTCTTTGACCCGAGAGCAACATACATAAAGGGCCTCCACACCAACAGATGTATTGCACTGTTCGTATGTGTTCAACAGTGACTACTACTGTCTGGTTAGTACTGCTACACTGTCAAGATTTATTGGTTATCGATAATTATGGTTATTCAGGTCCTAACATGATTGTAAGATCTAAAAAATAATAATGGTGACAATTTAGCAGCAAAATTCAGTCATTTCATTTCAGTCTGTTGTCCTAAAAGGTGACTCTAATCAAAAATGTGTTTATTCATATTAACTTATAACATAAAGTTGCTCAGTAAGTGATTTGCTATCTTTAAAACAAAATGGATGAAAGTGAATTAAGGATTGCACTGTTGTTTGATCATGGTGTCAATAATTGTGAATAATTCTTAGTGGAAAAAGGGTTAGGGTCATATAATGTGTTCAATTGAACAAGAAGTAAGGCGCCAGATAAAGATTTTGACTGCATAAGGCATATTAATGAGCAACTATATTTATCTGTTGCTCATGCTGGAAAGGCATATGGATGCTGTAGGTTAGCATGTGTGGGGCTGTCTCGAAATAAACTAAATGCCCACATGTATTATAATGGAGAAACAGTACACAGAGTGACTAATGGGATGAAACAACAATAACAAAACAATATGGTTTACATAACAGTTTTGTTGGTTTTTTTTGTTTTTTTTTAGAGTTGGCTGACAGATTCTTCTTGTGCAAATCCCTAAACCTTAAATATGTAAATATGCCAAAAAGCTTATCTCTTATGCAAAAAACAAGAGAGTGTACTCTGTCATATTCAAAGGAATAGTGCTTGTAAATCATGGAGCAAATAAGAATGTACTCCAGTGACTTTGAGTGGAGCATGGAGAGAAAGAGGAGGCAAAGGAGGGTAGTGGGAGCCATCATAGTTTCTTTAAAAACAAATCATAAAACACCTTTGTTACTCAAGGGAGATGAGGGATGATGCTGCTAAGATATCAAACTTTCACAAGGAGGCTTGTACAGGGGAGAAGCACAGTCAAATGACAACAAAAGAGTGATAAAAAATATAAACAATTCAAAGGCATTACCACCTCTTTATCAACATTGTAGAAAAATAGTTAGCTGTTCAGTCCTAGTTTTGTCAGATACTTTTTTGTTCCCATAACTGTGGAATTAGTGGTCAGTGGGGTATAAGAACAAATTAGCAGTCATGGTTCCACAGATCTGTGTTATTGTTGTCAGTAAGTAGAGTCTGTAGCACAAAAGCATTGGTGCTATTTACTCCTTAGAACATACCTAATAGTAATTATAAGAATTTACCCTAGAATGGCTGTTTCCAATGCACTGAATGGAAGCTGCATGCACATGCGTATGCTTTATCAATATGTGAATACTGATAAAAAATAGATGTATAGTCAATGTGTCCCATTAATAGAGGAGATTATGGTTTCCTTACCTGGCCAGCCAGAATCACACACTTTGAAAACAACAAAGACAAGTGGATCTGGAACCATATCCTGTCTCAAAAACAAACATGGCTGCTTGTTCTGAATTTTATCAGAATTTTGGAGAGGAGAAGGAGATGTCTTACGCATTTGAGGGATACATGCTTCACATTAGCGGCTGTGGTTGAATCGTCTCAAGTTTGTCTAAAAACAACTTGTACTACACACTGGTATCACAAAATCACACTCTGTTGGACCAAACTATTAAAATCTTTTGCCACCATAGCCTCCCCAGAATGTATGGGAAACACTGCTTATTTCAATACTTAGATTCAATGCCTTCAGAGGTGTGATTGCTAAAAAGTTTCATGTGCAAAAAAGGCATATAGACAGTAGAAAAGTCATTGCTTAAAGGGAGCTGTCGGAACACACTGTGGAGTGTGTTTAGAGGTAAATGTCTCAGGTCACAATAGGACATTTGATGACTCATAGGCCTACATTACTATATGACAAAAGCATATCATTCTGTCTGCATGCAACTCAATACATCCATAGCATTACAACTTGTGTGTGCAGTAACAATAACAACCTGCTGCATGTGAAGAGGAAAACAGGGCATGAAGATATAAAGCAAAGACAAACAGCATCTCCAGGAGCTTGCTGGCTACAAAGTACATGATTAGCATTGAAGTGGTCTGTAGCAAGACTAAATCCAGCAACACATCGATATGTGCCTGCCTTATACCAAGACAACACTGGTGCTGCCAATGACTAATCTAATGACAGCAGCAGCCATGGACACCCACCCACCCAAGCAACCGTAAGTCCTGCAGATACAACGGACATCCAAAGTAGGCAAAGGGGTTATTATACCACATCATATTACTGTGGGGGCATATGATATTTTGTGATATATATGTGCAGTGTTTTACTATTTACAGTTCAAGACTTTTTTTAAAAAAGTATTGTGACAATACATTCTTACAATCAAGCTTTTTAACTATTCAATTTGTATTTCATTGTGTATGCCAACTGGTGTAATCTGGCCTTCACTTGTTTGCTAATAGCTATGGTACACTGTAAAAAAAACTCAGTTTGGCCTCATTTGTTCAGCGTGCCCTGGATGTGAGTAAACAGAGCTGCAGAGTGGTGCTGTGAGATGTGCACATGCTGAGGGTGAGAATAAATGCAACGCGACAGCGCAGTCAAAAGCCTCAGGCAGTGACAGTAACACTGGTAGGCAGGTGGGAGTGAAGCCGTCTGCTGCACCACCATCCTGACAACCAGATTCACTATGCTACTCACACTATCAAGGTACAGACATTTACCGCTGCTTACTATTGTGTTTTGTATGACTCTTAACATGTCATTTAAATATTCTTAACCTGTCATGTAATGTTAAAACTTGATTTTGATACTATGGGAAAACCTCAGTACTCAGTACCGATCTTAATGCCACAATGATCATAAATCTCAATGCCACAATAAAAACTGGGTTTAATTTGACCCAAGATAATGGGGCACATAACAAGTGAAATCTTTGAAGAACAGACATTAAAGCTATCATTTGTAAATTAATTCGATTTTTTTTCACCAACAGATGGCAGAAATCTGTTCCCTTCTCCCCTCACCTGCCCTTTGTTCAGACTCACCTGTGCTCTCTGATCTTCCATCAGGCCAAACATTATCAGACAGCAATAACGTACATCTAGTGGTGTTATGTGAGTATACAAGAATAAGAGCAGGTCAGCCAATCGAATTACAGATCGTAGCTATAAGAGTCGGTTTATTTGTGCTGATGAAAGCACACACTAACTTGAAAAATGGCTGATTTTGATGTCTCTGTGTATTAATTTGCTGAACTAAAACTTGTGATCCTGAAAATATCACAATAAATGATAACACTGAAATAAATTTATAGAACTTTCACAATAACCTTAAAGTAGGATCATCCCAGTAAACCCGTTTCTATGTGAATCATATGAAACATAAATGTGACCAGAAATATATAAATGCTACAATGAGACACTAAAGTAGTTGTAGTATCTATAATGTGTTATGTAAATTAATTACTGAACATAAGCCTAATAGTACATTAAGTACGGGTACACACGATAAATATCGAGGATCAAAAAATATTGTTCATCTATCATATATAGTCAATATAGTAATTATTGTGACAGGCAGGGTCCTTGCTTCTCAAATGCAAGAAATATACCGCAAATAAATGTAAAAGCTTTGCCCTCCTGTGGACTCAAGGCAACAGAGACTCAAGAGTGTTTTATATTCAACATCCAACATAATTGTGTCTGTTCAAACCGATAGACAACATGTGGTTTCCTCAGCAGTCGTAATCTGACACACACCTGGCCTATAGCACTCATAATCTGGACTTCAACTGGTCTGGTAGGAAGTCAATTGGCAGGGAGAGAGACAGAGAGAAGCCTACGACTTCCTGTTCCTCTGAGCTATCGGGATGTGCGGACTAACACACACTCCCTCCCCCAAAGCAATATGACTCAACAACTTAGTAATCGGCCACAAAGACGTACAACTATCATCAGAAGACACAGAGCAGAGCTGGGGACGGGCAGGAGACCGTGAGGTGCACCTACACAGTCACACCCAGTCATTTGTGAATCACAAGTTCCCCGCTGCTCTAAACATGGCCAGAAGGGTCTTCATGATGAAAAAGTTGGGTTTGGTTGTTATGAAATACTGTTGCTAGGCTAATGTACTGACTGACTGTCCTCTGATGCTGGATCCTTATAAGCAGTCACATGTTTGGGTGACCACCCGATTTTAAGGGAGAGCACGAGGCTCTGTTTGAGATCTTTAGATCATGTCGGCAGAATTAGTAACAACTCATCTGTAATAAACACCTATACATCATTGCTAAAGACATAATTTAAATTTTTTTTTGAAAATTATTTCTTTCTAATATAGAGTAAAAGTGTACTACAACAGTGAAAGCCATAGATTACTATTTGTGGCATTGCATCTGGACGTTAAGAGGAAGTTCATAATATTCTTAGTCTCTGTATAATAATAACGTCCACAATAATGACAGTGCTATTATCAGCCAATGAAAGATTTAGATTTAACAACTGTCTTCATATTTTTGTTATTATTATTATGAAGGAGCAGCTCAAGGGCTCACGCTTTGTGTAATTTCTCTATCTTATTATTTGAAGTGACAACACATGCTGGGGATTATCAGGTAGAACAGTACTACAGTATGTTCACAATTTAGCATTTGATAAGTGCCAGCCATTCAGTGTCAATACAGCTTCTCCAACAATTACTCAAACAGACAAGACTCAACAGTATAAAAGGGCATGATTCAACTCATAATGCTGGTCATAAAAGTTACTTTATGGATAGGACTTACCAGCTCCACTGAACCATAATGTTTCCTGCTGAAATCTCCACGCCTGCAGCCCAAGTCCTCAGACGCAGAACTGCAAAAGAAATGCATAGTAAGATGCATGACCACAGCAAAGACACAATATACAGGCTCAACCTGGGACAGCTATGTATACAAACCACTAATTTTATTTAATTTATACTTTCACTCCAGTTCAATAAATGCCTGAGTTTCATTTATTCCTTTTGCCTGTTATTCTGTTTGGCGTGGTGAGTGGGCAGCAGCAGTGGCCAAGCCCAGTTCTGATTGGGAGATTGGTCCTGATTGGATTAAGTCACAGTGATAGATGGAGCTTGGCTTAAAGAGCTGACTGCCTTACAAGTCTGACACACACTTCTCTGAAAATCAATAACTTTCACTAACATTGCAACAAAACAACTGGTAAATATTTTTAATTACCAACAACTTTCCCTGTCATTGAAATATATATATATATATATATATATATATATATATATATATATATATATATATATATATATATTTTTTTTCTTTACTTTAAAGATATTTTGTATATGTGATATATTTCAAAGAGGTATTATTGTTTTGATTTTTGTTTTTCTTATGTATGGAAGATGATCCTTGATCAAAGCTCAAAAAAACAAAACAAACAAAAAAACAACTTATAAACTTACAGAGGTTTTATCAAATGTAATTTCAAGCAGCATTTTAAAAAGACAAATGTATGCTTTAGGCTACCAAACTGGGTCACAACAAAATCAGCCACTGGGCATGCACACTCCAATCAGAGGCTCAAGAACAGAACATTTATTTAAAAAATTCTGTAGAACACAAGCAATTATTTTTTAAGTTGTTGCTAGGAGAACAATTTTAGTGTTAAGGTTATTAGTCTTCCTCAAAAAACATGCCCAAAGATTTCAAACAATTAGCTACAAGGATAGAGAACCTTTTATAATGAAGTAAAAAAACATCTCTGTGTTAGACCAATTTACACCAACATCTCCAGGAAGTGACAACCTTTTGCGGTATAATTGCATAATGTAATTGCTGTCTGTTAACCTCATGGCTGAGTGAATATGACAAGAAACATTATTTTATTTGTTGGGATAATAATTATTATTTAATTCTATTGAATTTGGCAAATTCTATATTATAGTTATATTATTTATTACTTAAGTAATTCGGCTTTTTGTGACACATTTTAAGATGAGGGAATCAACAAGTTTAAGGTACCCTATGTAACTATTCTGGTGGTGATGGGAGGAGTCCACCATCTGTTTATCTTCAGTGAAATGTTATTGCTTTTGGAAGGAATGTTCCACAGTATTGCATTAAACTAATCTACCTCCATGGAGACAAGCAGATAATGCCACCAGGCCAAGCTGAAGGTAAGATCTGTAGAGACGCAAGCCCACACATTAAAAACCACCTGAGATGGTTTATACCGGGGTGGGCAAACTACGGCCCGAGGGCCATATGCGGTTCTGATTGGAACATCAGATTGGAACACCTTTAATCTTTTTAATCCGGCCCACCAAACTTGAATAATAATAATATTTTTAGTATTTTAAAAGTCATTTCAATAAATTGTGAATATCGACTTGAAAGACAGATATTTTGTTGTAATGCTTTGTAATGATTTTCAATTATGGGATATTTCAATAACATGGGATAGATTTTCTGCATATCCCATGTTATTTTTTTCTTTTATGAGGTGGATTACCAAAAAACTCCATCCATCTTCTAGTCCGGCCCTTCTGTCAAATTTTAGAACCCTTTGTGTCCCACGAGTCAAAAAGTTTGCCCACACCTGATTTATACTGTATCTGCTCTCTCTCTCTTCTCTTAAGGCGCGATTCTGGCGTCGACGCGTCAACCAATCAGGGACGAGTATCCAGTGACGCAGCGACGTTATTATCAGGAAGAAAGACCCGAGAACCAGAGCGAGAGCCACAAACATGAGCGGAGAATAAATATATACGCCACAATCACCGAGCCGATCGCGAGGAATACACCAGGATCGGACCAGGACTAAAGCAGGACTAGACCAGGACTAAACAAGGACTAGACCGAGACTAGACCGAGACTGACCGGGACTAAACCAGGACTAGACCGGGAATAAACAAGGACTAGACCGGGAATAGACCGAGACTAAACCAGGACTAGACCGGGAAAAGGCAGAGACTAAACCAGGACTAGACCGGGACTAGACTGTGATTAGACCGGGACTAGACCGGGACTAGACCGGTATTAGACCAAGACTAGACCGGGACCAGACCGGGACTAAACCAGGACTGATCCAGTGTTATTAGCGGAGTATAAATATATATACGCCCTAGTCGTCGAGCCGATCTCCTCCGCTGATGTTTTATGTCATAAAAACACTCTATCAGTCTGGTGTGACATTGTTTCGGGAAAAGACCGGGACCGGGCTCTTGTTTCCAGGGCAACGGATGCGCGTCAAGTATTTTTCTCCAGTTTGTCCACGGCGTCAAAGACGTGCGTTGGGGGCGTCTAAACTCAAAAGCAAAGGCATCCAAGTAGAGGTGTCAAGGCGTTTTTTGACGCTTTGGTGTGAAAGGCCCTTTACGCAAGGGTAATGCATTTTTCCTTAACTTGAAAATGTTTCAAGCTGGCACCTTCTTAACCACTGCAAGGTTGAAATTAAGGCAGTAGTCTAAATGTTATAATTGTTTGCTGTTATAGCACTGTACATGACATTGCAACAGTTGCTTTATTTTAGGGCTTGTTGTTGCACTTGCACTTTTACAGGAAAACGTTTGTTGTGCGATTCATTCCCATGTAGGGATGTTAATGTCAAATGGCTACAAAAAGTGGGATTATCAACACACATACAGTATTAGAAGCAACAATACCTAATATAAGCTTTACACTTCAAAATAATTAGGTAAAAGTAACTTTTTGAGCACATTGCTAGAAAAAATATATGACATAGTGACTTGTAACTAGAATGACATTTATTAGTTTATAAGATATTATTTATATATTTGAATATGGTTGTAATCAAAAGGTCTGGAATAGTCTGAGTAGTGGGCCACAGCTCTCACTCATATATGTGTGATATTACATAGACTGTACCAAGGAGTTAATGCATAATACAGTATTCAGCCATACAGGACCTTTTAAATGAAAGTGCTACAGGAAGCATCCATCATTGATTCTTTATCCTCATGCTCTTGCTCTCGTATACAACACAATATCTGTATTTTATCTCAAGGTTTCTTTGTTTCTTATGCTTATGTCTGCCACTGAACCTTACTCCTAAAAAGGCTTACACACTGAGAGAGATATGATTAGGTGATATTATTCCACCCACTGCAGCTTCAGATTGTAATGAAAACATCTTCATATGAGAATATATTGCCCTGTGGGAGTTTGAAGCTTGCTGCAGGTGTATTAAGTCAATCTGCCAGCAGAGAGCATGTCTTGTATTTACAATGGGGTGACTAGGTTTGGCAGACACAAAACAGTACAGGCCACTGAACTCATCACTATTCACTTTCATCGAGCATTATTGTTTAAAGAAAAATAAAAGTCGCAAGGGATTTGAGATTTTGCACAGTTTGAACCATTGGGCTCTACTGTGTCAATAGCTGTTTGTCCAGTCATCAGCTCAAGTCCTGCCCCACAGCACCTGACTTTTTCAATTTCCACCACAACTCTGCTCAACAATGAAAAATCAGTTTGTGAGTTTAAAAATAAAACTTTTACTCTGACAACTCAGTTATGGGTATTGGGACTGTTTTAGACATTTGTGCCTCTGACAAAAATAGGTTACAAATACATAGGTTTCTGAGTAAAATTTATGTTACCCGGGGCAACTTATAGGCATTTAGTGTACATGGGCACCTGCATGTGAAACAGGGTGAAAGTTACCTGGCCCTTTACCTTACCATCTAACTTACCACTAACCTTTCCATCCAAAAAAACATGTTAAATTTTGTAAAAATTAGGGCTGGGCACGTTAACGCGTTAACTTTGCGTTAACTAATTAAGTCATTAACGCCGACAATTATTTTAACGCCGTTAACGCAGTTTTTATTATTTATTTATTTATTTATTTGATTGTAAACGTCTGTTTCTCACTGGCTTTTATTTTGAAAAAGTCCACCGCGAGCGTTTCTTTAAGTTTGACGTCTTTTCTTTAAACTTTTTTCACTTTTTTCTGACCACGTGAGATGCAACGTGTCCGAGCCTCCGAGCCGCGGGCCCGGCCGCGGGTTCGGCCGCGGGCTCCGACTCCGGTGGCGTGCTCTGGTCGTGGGCTCCGGCTCCGGCCGCGGGCTCAGCCGCGGGTTCAGCCGCGGGCACCGGCTCTGAGCTGAGTTTATTTCTTTAGTTCAGTGCTGGAGTAACCGATTTACCCAGATACCATTGGAAGAAAAAATTTGATTGGTCCATTTCCATTCCATTATATTAACCCTTTGTTTCCTAAGAAATATCAGTCCAAGTTTATAACACTGATCTAGACATTATTACAAGTGTAGTGTTCATTACTCACAGCATAAAAAATATTCAATAAATATATTAGTGGTACAAACGTCCATTCCATATTTTTTCTTGAGCCTTCCCTGAATACCTTGAAGGCTCTGAGGTTCCCCTGTGAAAGAAATGCTGTTTGCACAACACATGTGTGGCTCTTTCATTTACATTTCCAATAAAAGAGCGCTATACTCTACTTTTGAATTCATTAATTGGTTTTGCGTATAACATGCGATTAATCGCGATTAATCACTCGAACTCATGCGATTAATCGCGATTTAAAAAAAAAAAAATTTTTGCCCAGCCCTAGTAAAAATATGTAAGAGCATTGAGTATTGAGTACTTTTCTATTGGAACAGAATGATGGCACAATTTGGTCACATGTGCACTTAATGTTGTACATATGCAGAAGCAGTGGCATTGGGGCATTTCACATTGTTCTTGTGTCCCTGCCTCTAAACAACTGCCCCACTGAGCAGCTAACCTTTATCTACAAATAAATTCTGCTGCTGTTTTACAGCCAGACACCTGCCTGATTAGAGCCACACATAAAGTTCACTGTATCAAAGCACTGTTCAACTGAAGCAATTATTCAGGTTTGTCCATGTTCCCAAATTCAAGAAAAATAACACATTCGTTACTAATCCTATAAAGACAATACATTTGGGGATAAACAGGCTATCAAATAAATTGTGAAGTGCAATGGAATTACAGGTGAAACATAAGAAAATATATGTATAGCAAAGTGTAGCATCAAACTAAGAAATATGCTCTCAAGTGCAACACTGTGAGGCTGCGCATAGGGCAGGTGAGCTGTATAATTTGCTGCGTAAAATGCTATGACTATGACAACGATGGCACGCACATGCAACAGATGAGAAACCGATCAGGAGACCAATTAAGGGAAACAAACAAACAAACAAAAAAAAACAAAAAAAAAAAAAACACTTGTTACCGCTGGTTGAAATTCAACAGTTTGCTGGACGCTGGATCCACACTGGTCATGTCCCCATGCGACACCAAGCGACAACTAGGCTACAAACAACAAGCCGGCGTCTTATCCCACTCTCTCCTGGTGGATTTCCGCTCACTTCTTGCTAGTAGCTCAGAAACATTACTGCAGATAAAAGTCCCGACAACAGCCGCTGATCACATCCATCCCGCTCTCTCTTCTTCTACTGTTTGTCTTGTGAGCGTGTAATACCGCGCTACAGCTCTGTGCCATTGATGAGTTGTTCTGTTACTGCTCCCACTGTTTGTCGGTCCTTTGCGCGCGCGCACTCGCACGGTCCCATGTCAATACAGCATTTCAATCCAGCACAATTAGACGGAACAGCCTCCAGTCTAACGGGCACTTTTGGGCGCAGGTTATTATTCTTGGTAGTGGAACGTGAAAAGCACAGCTGTTACATCACCCACCAGAGTAACTGTAGCTTCCAGCTACAGTGATGTCAGGACGAGGTCTCTGTTGGGGGTAGTGCATCACAACCGATTATTCTTTCTGAATTTTAGAGACTCTTTTGCCCTGACAATTATAAAGAAGAGGAAGGCATCTTTAAATGGTATTTGATTAATCTTCTTCAGACTTCGTTTCAGTACAGTTTCAATGAAACATATCAGTTTATTTGTGTGCTCATCAATCACTCTTGTGTGCTCTCTTTGGTCCAACAATAATCCCATTTTTGCTGCAGCTTTATATCCATATGAGGTCATCCCTTTTCACTGCACCCTTACCCCATTGTCTGCTCTTTTATTGCATCTCTGTCCCCAATTTGCTTTTAGCATCTTCCACTATTCTCAAAGGTCTTCAGTTTGATCTTTTCTGTGAAGGCAACGAAACTGTTACTAGTAACATATTCAAAAGTGTTAAGGCTGTGCCTTATGAGATGCTCAATAAAGATCTGCACACAAACAAAGGCTAGACTGAGCGTGAGAACTGTTTTTCCAGAGATGTCAAGATCATTTTAAGGCCCTCCATAAGAACTCGAGACAGGCAGATGAAATGTGAGCTTAGGTAAATCGGATACCTTGACAATAGCCTGCACACACGTACACACAACATGAAAGAGTGCAGGAATGCCAGGCTTAAGCTCCACAGCACTCAACCGCTCATCAATTTTTAATCAGTAGCCGCCTCTCACTCCCACCCCCACCTCCCCACCCCAGCATGTCGCACCACCACAGGAAAGCACCTACTGCAACACTATAAATTCAACAAAAACACAATCAAAAGTACAACTAATGCAACAAAAGTCTAGAGTAAATATTATATCACAGACAAAAAGTGACACCTTCTTGCTGTAATGTAAGGATTCAATACCAGAACAAACAAGTTACTGGAGAGAACCATCCTGACTAATTAGCACCCCAGGCTAGTCCTATGAACACAGTCCTGCCTACTACTTGACCTACACACCCAGCCTCACTTGTTACACAAAACCCACTGAAACAGGAAGTCCAATAGGGAAGGCCTTCTGTGTGATGCCCATTATAGTAAAATGACAGAAGTGAAAAAAGAAGTGAATATACTTTGTGGCTTTATTTTTTTCAGCCTCAAGTTGTTAAATATCTAGTAACCAGCACACAAAAATGAATTGTGTGCACATTTTAAACCAGCATAATTTATTCTAATCTATTCTCACATCCATGCATAGTGATTGTGTTGTTCCCAGGCTGAGAGAATGAAGCCCCAGAATGCTAAAAACCTGGGTATTAACTTGTGTAGGTGTAGGCATTACTGTTTATAGGTTTACAGGTGGAATGCTTTAGTGTCTGGAGACTTTGTACCACGATTGACTCAATAGTGAGCTAATCCCTAAGAGCTATGGTTCCATATCTCTGGACAGCTGCCACCATGAGCTTTTAGTGTAGCATGACCACCAGCTCTATCCTCTGCTGATCTGGTCTGGCAAAATGTAAAGATGAATTTTAAATAAATGCCCATCATCAGTTTATCACCCAAATAATAATTCAAATATTCTGAAGTGGAGCATCTATTCAAATCCACTATGCAAAGTAGTAATAGTGTTAAAGAAACATCTGTTATTTGTCTCTGTGGAACCAGATAGAAGTTTGTTGATCTAATCATAAACATCCTGGGTCACTGACTGCTCACTATCAAAAATGAATGCAATTTTAAACATAAACATTTATTTTTATGTGAATTAAATATTAAATATTTGTTCATTTTGGCATCTGTTTTTATTAATATTGTAATACAAATGCAAAAAACATTCCAGTAGTTTTTTTGTTTTGTTTTTGTTTTTCCTTTTGTTTTTAATGGAATAAACTGATATGTATGCTTCTTAATCAGCAGCAAAATGCAGGGAAAGGTTCCTTTAACTTTGAATGAAAGTTGTTTCAATATTTATCTTTCAATATAACAGTTGAATGAAAATTGCAAACCATAGTGTCATGTTTAATTTAGATTTACTTAGACAATGAAAAATGCTACCCTTTGTAATGTCCATACATCACACTGCAGCAATAGATGGTGGCACTCTCATTAAATGTGATCACGTTAATTAACCTTTTGTCTGCATGGATCAGACAGGAGATGGACACCACCATTGTGAGCAGGATGTACAGTCCTGTGCCTGTCCATGGGGTGCTTCTTAAAACTCTCCACTCTCATGCAAATCAGTGCATATTTAGACCCATCTGTTTGGGAAAGCTGACAATCCTGTTCATTTTGCTTCGACACACAAACATATATAATTTGCATGTACTATTTTGCATAATAAAAAATCATGCTAAAAAAATGTGGTTTTATGAACGTTGCTTATGCAATTGTACAAAATATGGCATGGAGCTTCACAGGCTAACAGTAGAAACATCCATAATGGTCAAAGATTTATAAAGGAAAGGTGTGCCCTCTTGTGGTATAAACTTTAATTGCAACTTGAACAGTCAGGTCACAGTAAAAAAGGATATAAAATAATCTTGTGATACTTATAAGAAATGGGAAATAATTCAATTTAATCATTGTACTATGTTTTATCGCTCCCTGTCAATGGATCAACACATTTAAAAAACAAATGAACCATACTAATTCTTCAGTTCCTTGCTTTGGTTTTTCAGCCTTTTGGGGTACACCTGTCTCACGTGTTAATATTATAACTTTGTGGAGCTGCACAAAGTAGTAGTAGTAGTTTGCAGATTTTTTTCAGGAATATATAATCCATCATAATTCATCCACAGAGAAAAAGAGCTCTGGTCTTACAACAGTTGTGTTACAATTGGGCTGCCCTAAAGTTTAGCTTTGGCCTTTTTCTGGGCCATGTCCATCCAACTATAATGGCAAATGTTTTTCCAGCCTCCAAATTTCCTGGAGCTGTGTGCAGTACATTTAATGTGTAGGTATGTGTTTTAAAGCTCTAAATAGAAGCAGATGTCGCAAAGTAAAAGTTTACATAGGTCTGTAATCAACTGAAGGATTTTTTTATACTTTCTCCTTGTAATTTGAATCTATTTTCCTGTTTAAATGAGCCTGGTCCATTGCACTGTGCACACGGACAAACTCCACTGGCTTTGTACTGAGCTATGCAACCACATATGGGAGTTATTACAGTCCAGTGTTTATCAGACTCACAGAGGACTGACTGACTTTATGACAGCAATCCAGAGCAGTTTTGTAAACTGTTACATGCTGACAACCAAAAAGACTGCCTTACATCCACACATTAATACAATAAAAATATTAGTTATCATCTGCAAACAATGCTATGAAGAATGTGTCCTTAAGACAAGTATATCAGTTAATGCATTGATTCATCACTTCACTCCTGCATAAGCTTTATGATGACACTGTGAGACTAAACTACTTTGGTCTGGCCTATCAGCACTGAAGGTAGCCTATCTATTATGAAAATTTTTCTTTTTCTTGTACTGAAATACAGAAATGCTGAAAACTATGTTAGACATAAGCACCATATGCTTTTGATTTAAATCCTACATTGAATCCTGCAGTGAAAACCTCAACAGGAAACCTCAAGAAGACAAAACCATAAATATGCATGTTTTGTTCTGATTCCTCTTTTGGACAATTCACACATGAATGTTTGATTTTCTGTACAGATTTTATAACAGCACATTTCTATTGCATTATTTCTAGATGAGGTTGTATGCCAATCTGACAAGGTGCAAGCTGCAACACAACCCCTGGCAATCATAGTTACTAAACATTGTGGGAAGTTAATGAAGACACTGATAGCATTTCAAAGTGAGTGCCCTGGAATGACCTCTACTAGGGAGAAACTCTGTAGTAAATGCAGAATGAAAGAGCAAAACATTCAAAAGAAATGTAGAGGAGGTCCCATACCACTTAGATCTTATGGAGAGATAAGATTTCTGTTTCGGAACATGTTGAAATATCTAAATCTAAGATCTCTGCACTCAGTAGGCCAGGAGACTTGTTTTAACAAATGAGACTATTCAGTAGGGGTGAGCGAGACTGACAAAAAATAATATCTCATAATGTCTTATTTTGTTGGAGTATCCCAATAATTAGACAATATTATGCCAATCCAGGATTTAAAAGTCCTATATTACAGGAAATTAACTCTTGTTGTAATGTCAACATACCTGGAGTGGTGTTTTGTTCTATTACCTTTTACCTTTCAGTAGTAAGAGATTGGAAATTCCAGGGCTAAAATTATCCAGTTGATTCATATGGAGTTTTAAAACATAGTAGAGCACTTCCTGTATTGCCACATGACATCAAAAGGTGAAACAGAGCGTTTTCTGCTTGAGAGAAAAATGTATTAAATTGTATGTTAAAAATGTGAATGGAAACTAAACACAACTCCAGGTATGTTTTTGATGAGGAAACAACATATATCAGAAAACAGTGCAATGTAGTCCCTTTAAATTTCAGACAAATGTAAACTTTGATCCTCTTATTTGTAAGTGTACCTCTTTACTTCACTTTATGAACATTATTTTAAGCATTTAGCATTTTTTCTTGTTTATTAAAAAATAAACTATATTTTTTGCCATTCACTATCACACTATGAGATCGCCACTTTAGGTTCTTAGAAAACATTTGATTAGAAAACTCATTACCCAGGGCCAGCTAACATTTTCCATTCACATAATTTATCCCCTTGGCACAGTTCTAGGTCCACACTCTATAATGCTTGCACTGCCAGTTATTGGTCACATATAACTGAAGGATTTCTGTTCCTTCCAAAGTATGAGAATCATTTTAATTCTTCACAATTAGTCAGGCCTGATCCCTAACTCAAAGGCATTCAGGGTGAACTACATCCAAAAGTCTTTTTACAACTGCTCAGTAAATACTGAAGAGGCACAAGAAATTCATT